AAATAATCCCTCTATTATATTGTTTAACAAGTCAATTATTATTAATTTATAGAATTAAAGCCAATTTCTATGAACGTTTCCATCAATTTGTTATTGGATGTGAAATGAATTTGAACACTGCCTTAGGCATTATTAATAAAGAGTTCGTTTCTATTATCACCGATGTTTTACGTAAAATTATACATAGTAGCATTAGCATTCACTTAAATATTCAGAAACTGATAAGCAACAAAGACAACTAATAAAATTGTTATTAGTCCATTGTCGCTGTTTTGTCGCTCCATTAAAGTGAAGTTGGTTTGATAATGCTTTGATCGTTAAATTATTATTCAATGGTGGTAAGTATTTCATTGCATCACGAGGATACATCCTCGGTTATTTGCAGATAGATAGTTCATGGAGGGCCTTGCCATGGTATTTCCTCTGCTTGATCGTTTTTCAATGTTTATACATGCTTCGGACCTTCTTTTATCAGTTCATGCTTTGGTGCCATCTTGTTGATATATTTCTGTATGCTTTGATTTCGTTCAAGAGTGACTTTCATATATATCAAGGCCTTCTTTTTGATTGGTGTATGACATTTGGTTATTGGATTTAGAGTGGAAGTTTTTCGTGAGGAATTTCCTGACCTTTACATCAGCAGTCTCCATGTCTTCCTTTGTTCATTTTACAATGCCAGCTGTATATTTGATGACTATCATATTTATAGCATAGATTTTGATTTTTCCATTGATCTGGTTCTTCAAGATTTGTTTCACTATTATCGCATGTGACTGTGAGATACCAGGCTAACTGTAGCCACCCTACAGTATGCTCACTATGTATCCTGATGGCAGGTCCACCCCATTGTAATTCATAATTTTTCCTCTCTTTATTACCATCCGACTACATTTCTCTAATCCGAATGACATCCTAATAACATGTGTAGATTCGAATTAGATGGATGAGCGAATCAATATATCTCTTTCACTTTTGCATACAACTTGGTGTCTTCCATGTAAAGAAGATGGCTGATGGTAGTGCCGCTTTCGAATTTATATCCATCTCGAAAGGTGAAATAGTCATAATCAAGGGAGCAATGCATGCGCAGGTCAAGATGCCATCACAATGAATTCAATAATTGGCAAATATGGCATAGGACTTTTTTGCTTTACAGAACTTCTTGTTATTAATACATTCTTCGTAAAAAACATCTAGTCACCTGGAATATTCACATTGATTATATGTTGGATGAGTCGCTGTTGGAAGAGTTCCGCACTAGACATCGAGGTATTAAAAATGGTAAATTTCATGGATTAGACCATGCTATAGTTCGAGCCAAGATTCGCATATAATAGGAAACTATTCCACCTTCCTTACTCGAGAAACGATCAATGAGATGGTACGGGATGGCAGTGGTGTGCCTGTTAAGAATATTAAGAATCGCATCACAAGTGATAACCCGCAAAAAACAGCGTCTCCCAAAATCTTTCAACCATCTTAAACTAAAGGATTCGAGGACGATAAATCCATTTCAAACCTTATTGTTGCATCACATAAATAAACAATGGCATCTTTGGGACGGCAGATTAATACTGCTCCAACTAAAGGCATGACTCTGAAAATCAGCCATACTACGATATACTAGTAAAAAATGCGATAGTTGGGTGTCGAAAGCAACAGTTGAATAAAAAAGCTGCCAAAGTATATGGATGTTAGAAGATCCTGGCTATCGAATGTTTCAAAGAATTATAATGACTGCACAGTGCAGTACGGTACAGAAATCGCTATTGAAGAAAAAGGACCTTGGAAATGAAAAGGAGGCTCGATTAAGCGATAATAGGAAACTATTCCGCCTTCCTTACTCGAGAAACGATCAATGAGATGGTACGGGATGGCAGTGGTGTGCCTGTTAAAAATATTAAGAATCGCATCACAAGATGGAAAAAATTTTTTGAGGTCAAACTTAATCACGATGCGCCATCTGTTGTTAGTCAGGACATAGCTGATTCGCTTGACGAATCACACACTGTGAACCGTCAAAAGAAGAAGAAATAATTTCTATTATCCAGAAACTGAAGGTCAATAAATTCTCTGAGAAGATGGTCTTCAGGCTAAATTTTCAAATGTTGCTCATTATCCTTCATATCACACTTCAACAAATATACACTCTGGTATGAAGCAATGAAATAATATCAAATGATTGGAATAAAGCAGTTGATTCCAAAAAAGGTGACAATAAATACAATTACTCGAAAATAACTACAAAAACAAAAGCCCGCGTCTATGTAGTCACAGTTCGCTCGATCTTGCTAAATGGTTGCGAGATCTGGCCGTTAGGAGTGGAGGATATTAAGAATGACAACTGTCGAGGAATCAGCTTACTAGATACCTCAGCAAAAATTTTTGCCTCTCTTCTACTCAATGTACATACAATAAGGGACAACAGAATGTGCCCTAACCAAGCTGGATTTAGACCGAGTAGTTATGCTGACCAGACATTCACGTTAAGAAGGGTGTTGGAACATCGCTTCAGATATTTGTAACCCACTATCGCGTGTTTCATCGATTTTGCTGCTGCCTTTAATTCAATTGATAGGGCGGCGCTTTGGAGAATGATGGACGTTCGAGAGAAGATCATTCGACTCACAAAGGCATTTTATGAGCTCACGTCGGCGTAGATCTGTGTATATATGGAACTGAAAAATCCTTCGAGATAAGAACTAGTGTCCGTCAGGACTGCGCCCTTCTCTCCACAATGCAATAGACTGGATAATGGGCATTGTTTATCGGCACTCAAGATGGGCAAGATATCACAGACCTTGAATATATCTCTTATCCTTTTTTGCTGACACTTGTGAAATATAAATACAATCGACAACTGCAGCAAGAATCAGACTAAAGTCAAATGTAAATAAAAATTTTTTCATATTTCATTATATACGAAAAGCTGATAAAATATTTATTTTCTTCAATTCATTGCTGGTTTAGGAAGTGCCAGACTTTAAATATCTCGGATTCACTCTAATCTCAGACGACAACCGAGCGAAAAAACAACAACCCGAATAATGGTAGTCAGAAATGCGGTTGGACAAATCGCGAAATTACTATAAAAAATAAAGTCCTCATATTCACTCGGTCTTGCTATATGTCTAAGAGATTTGAGATAAGAGTGGAGGATATTAAGACGTTAACTTTTTTCCTTAGATCACTCACGCCTAACATATATTTTGCAGGTTCGCCGAGCAGATAAAATCGTTCATGGTTGCATCTCCCTTCGACCAAATACTATTTACATTAATAGTACCATAATAAAGCCATCGTAGCCTTCGCTGGTTAGAGTACTTTCTTCTTCATCCACTACAAGAGTTGACATAATTCGTTATTCACTGAACTCTGCGATGGTTGACGTCAAAAGCAAAGTGCGCCAATCAAGACCTGGACTGATACAGTCAAGAAAGATTTCGAGCGTAGAGTAGAACCAGCGATATATGGACATAAAAAAAAGAATGGCTTCCACTGATGTCAACGATGGCCTAAGATCGTACAGCTTGAAGATTTTCCTGTAGCCAGTCAGGTCACCTCAATGAGATGATAATGAGATGATAATGAGATGATAATGGTGATAATGGTGAGTGAGAAGAAAGGATGGAACCTCAGCACCGAGATAACAACAACAACCCACTGGGTCATTCTACCCCTCTTTATGTTATTTATAATTTTTTATAATACGTCATTTTTTACACCATTTACTATTCATTACTTGCAACCAAGCACCTCAACTTCTGTTATTTCTAAGAAAACTTTCCATCGGTTTATAGGGGAGTGTTAGACATTTGCTCTATTTTTAATTGTCAGATCGTCAGCTGTGCTCGTTCGCCTTATGCATTTGGTTTAATTTTGTTATTTCACTTGCTTTTTATCGGTTAAAATATTTTATAATATTCTTCAGTATTTTTTTTTGTGAAGTTATAGGGTGGTACATACTGCTTAATAGGTTGATGGTGCTAGGTTTTTCCCAGGTGGAGTGAAAATTACCGTACTTTGAAAATTCTGGTCATGATTCTGACCGCTATCACCCATTACTGGTTAGGTTGGCTGCGCTGGCGACAAGGCTAAGATGTCTCCAAGCTGCTTGGTTTGACACCACTGCCAATAGTAATAAAAGCCATTTCTTTTTCCATCGTCTAAGTCCATATATCGCTGATCCTCCTATACATTCGAAATCCTTCCTGACTGTATCAGTCGAGGTCTTGATTGGCCCACCTCGTTTTTGACGCCATCCATCACATGCTTTAGCAAGTAACGAAATATGCGGTGAACTTCTGTGGTGGATGGAGAATGTGCCGTAACCAGCGAAGGCGATGCTCTGTAATACTATTATTAATGCAGGTGGTATATGAGCAGTGGATGCAATCATGTGCGATTTTATTTACTAGGCGGATCCGTAGAATGTACCTTATACATGAGTGGTCAAAGGCTGATAGCTTCTTAAAATCTTCCACTCTCATTGGCCATTTTTCGTAGCCTTATGTCAAAATCAGGAGAATTGAAGCCATATGGATGCGCACTTTCGTCTTTATGGTGATTTCGCAACGTTCCACAAAGGTGTCCGGTTTCATCAGCCGGAAAAACACATATTTCTAATTGTCGTTATCCAGGTTACAATTTCATCCTTTCCTTAGCCATTTGTGGTTAGAGTGTAATATTTAGAAGAATGATAAATCATTTTGCTGTTATTATTCTTTCCTCTAACCGCGGACTAGCCGTTTAATTATGAGGCTAATTTTGCTAGAGGCTAATTTAATTTTTTAACATAAGAACAGAAAAGTTCTCAGTTTCATCCGAATTTCGTAGTTAATGGACGATAATCAAATCATTTATTATGCTATTTGTTTTTACTGAATTATTCTATTTTTATTTATTATTTATTCTATTTTTTATTATTTATTAAATAGCTTCAATTATCTCCAATTATAATAAGTTAATTTAAATAAATAAAGATTTATTTATTTATTCAGATGTCAATAAATGGTTTAAAAATATTCCGGAATGTCGTCGTTCACCGATTTTCTCCATTATTACCAAAGAAAATTTTTTTGTCTTCATTAAACAGCTTGGCTTTAATGCAGAAACGTTCAATAGTTCATAAAAATTCGTTAAAGCTCGATGAAGAGACGTATCCTGAGCCATGGCCATATAAAGAAAAAGGGTTTCATTTCGTTCTTCATTATTATTATTTTTTTTTTTTGCCTCAAGCAAAACATTTTATTTTATTTTATCCATTTGACCGAAATTTTAGTTATTTGCCATAATAACGTAGTATTGACAATGTTTTGCATTCGTAATTTGCACAATTTTATAGAATTTACTCGTAATTTGAGAATTTCGAAGGTAAATTAAAGGTGCAAACCATCAACGAATTGAAATCGAACTTATCTATCTTTCATAAATAATATTGCTAATAACAAACGTTATTCAGCCAATTTTTAAGACTAAAGTAAAAATATTACATTAATATTTACTAATATTAATAATAATATTTACTAATATTTAGTTTCTGTTATTTTATTTTATTATTAAATGATTTTTTTTTGTTATCTTGCGAGTTGCTTTTTAGATTTTCTTTTTTCCATGCAATTTTCGATCGTACACAACCTAGGTTTCATCAGAATTCGAAGCTTATTGTTGTTGAAGGAAATATTGGTTCTGGAAAGGTTTTTATGCTTTTTATGCTTTATACTTTTTATCATTTTTCATTTGATAAGTGGTCCTTTTTTAATGATTTCAGATTTTTTTTAGATTAGTGGAAAAATGAATTGGCATTCATCTTTTTAGTTGATAATCTCGAAATCTTATTCGTAGAGATTTTTCTCAATTTTTTGTTCATTTCAGTAAATATTGATTCTTCTAATCTCTCACGTTTTTTTTTTTAGACACACACAGCGAAAGAAATCGCTGATCAGTTAGGATTCTACTTTATGCCGGAATTTAAAATGGAACATATTCTTATCGATCGTTATGGAAATGACCTAAGAAATTTCTATCATTTGGTATTGTTTTATCCATTTTTAAAAAACCCCTTTCTCACTACCTGTAAGTATTATTATCAACCTCGAGTTCTCTACCAGAGTGTTGGGAACTTAGGGATTCTGCGTAGCATTGGGTTCTTGTGGACATCTTTGCTATTATTCCTGAAATCTGCTGGAGCCACTTTTCTGTTTTGAATTCACAGCTGCTATCACCTTTGGGATTGCTTTGGCTTTCACTTTCCATATTTTTCAGCCTTCGCTATTTCTTTTAGTTTCTTACATTTTAGTCTTTATGTTCATTATATTTACCATCAATGCTGTGATTGATTTTTAGTCCTTGTCTATTACCACGGCATCTGGTTGCCAATTGGCCAGTACTTATATGTTTGGATGGATAACTTTCACTTGATATTCGCCTTATTACTCTCGAAGATTCTATGGATTCTCCCATCTGGCCTTGGGAGAGTCTAAGCCATATAATAAACAGATACTACATAGGTATTCATGTGAATGCCAACTTGTTCATGCTTTTTTTGTATTCTGCCACTGTTGGAGATTTTCTAATGCTTTTCTGCACGGTCTCCATCTTAAGTCTTGCATTATAGATGTATGCTTCGATTGATCTGGTACTTAATAGTATATGTTCTTGTGTTACCTCAATCCAGTTTTTTCCAACCACTGGTAGGATTTCTCATTGTCAGTTCAGCTCTCTGGTAGTTTTACATCATATGGGTGGTCTTGCTTTACTATGGCATCTTTTCTGGTTATTCTTTTTCCACTGTCTATTGATGTTCAGATATTCTTTTAACGGCCCATTTTTACTATCGTGCTAATGTATTCCTGGATGCTGCCGATGGTTTCATTAAAAATAACGGCGACAACGACTTTGACATTCATCAGGCTCCATCTTTTTTCTACAGTCCTTGAGTATTAGAATTGGGTTTGAAAGTTTCTCGAATTTCGTACTTATACATTTGTACAAGTTTCATAAGGAAATTCTGTGTCGTTGCGTTGGCAATCTCCATATCTTCCTTTGATTATCTCAATTTGCAGACTTCACATCTGGTAGAGAATATAATTGGTATAGCATATACATACATTTCTGGGATGAATTTTTCCGACTGAGCTGGCTTTTCAAGATCTGTTTGATTTTTGCCTTAGATATCTACTTGATGTTAATTTTTTGTATTTGGATATTCTGGTTTTTTTATCTTTTAATCGTGGTTCTCAGATGTCAAGTACTTATAGCTGATCTATATAAGTATATATATATATATATATGTAAAGTGCCCGAATAGTGTATTGTGGGTCTTTGGGTAAAGATCTCTTAAAATCTTATTTATCCCAGCTTATCTTATTAAAAGCTTATCTAGCCCAAGTATAAGAGTGTCCGGCATATATACTGGAGTCATGCCGGTTTATATGTCGCGCCGTATTAGCAAGGCTCGCACCAGATGCTAAGAAACAAGGACAATAAAGAGGTTACTGGAAGTCAGGCGTCACAGAACCAGGGTAGTTTGTTGGGCTACTGGAATAAACTACCTAACTTTATAACTTTACTTTACAAAACACGGAATTAATGGAATAATAATATAGCAGACCTAATGAAAGGGGATATGCGAAGTGCATAGAATGCATCGATGGCTCTTTGGCAAGCTAACTACCACAGGGAATCGAGACTTGGGTTCGAATCTGTCGATGCACCGGTGCTGTTGCATAATGGAGAAAAGCAAAGGAAATAGAATAGTCAGTGGCTTATGCTTAATCGCTTATTCAATTTGGAGCGCCAACGCCAATGTTGAAATTCTACTCGCGGTAAGAGTAAACCAAAAATTCTGTTACTGACTACTGATTGCTCAAAAAAAAAAAAAAAAAATGAAACGTATGAATTTTTGGTGGGGAAAAGAAGTTATATACTAAAAACGAGACATTGACTTGTTCAATCTAACAAAACGAGGCCACTGGGATGTCATTCGGTCTAAAAAAATGTGGTCAGACGTGGTGAAAAGAAAGTAGTTAGAGCTGATGGGGCTGGACTACCATTGGAGCACATTATCCGGCTAAAATATCTTATTATCCAACAACCACACTATGCAGAATCAAGGAAGATACATCCAATTATCACCAAAGAATCAGAAAAGATTTTGAACGTATGAGTGGACCAGCAATTTATGGACTTAGACGAATAAAAAAAGGGATGGCTTCTATTATTGTCAACGATAGCTTTAGACCGCGTGTCAACACAATGACAGCATGTATAATGCAAAAAACAACAGCATTGAAAGGCATAACCGACTAGCTGGCATTGCTTTTATGAATATCTGCTTAGCATATGGATTAGGCTTTCTCAAGAGCAAATGGGAAAGTCCACAGAAAATCTTCGAGAAACTTAAGACCAAGTTGCTATGGGATTTCCCCATCCTGATAAACAAGCAAATGTTTATCAACCGGATATCATGGTTATAGACAAAAATAAATTGGCACTTGTGATAGATATAGCGATACCAGGAATAAGAGAGAAGAAATATGAGAAATGGAGCTCATAGTGATAGAAGCATTAGTTACTATCATCCCTAAACTGGAAAAGTGGTTTCCCCAAATTCTTGGGACTGAGTTTCAGAGATTTATGTCCGTAAGAGAGGACTGAGAGCTTGATCCACACCATTCATAAAGTGACAAAGAGGTTTTTGTTTAGAGAAAAATTTAAATTAATATAGAGAAAAATTTTTATCAAATTTTTAATTTTTTTGAAAATTAATTTATTTATTAAATTAACTAATAATTTTTTATTTATTGAGTTGAATTTTTTTTTTAGATTCCTCAATCATATCGTGTACCAGATATGGAAATGTTTTACAAAAATCCGGGTTCGAATATGACAGCTGTTATGTGTAATAAAATTTTTCAATGCCGTTTCGAGCAATATCTAAACGCTTTAGCACATATTTTGAATACTGGTATTTCTGTTGAATATTTAAAAATAAGATAATATTTTTTTTTAATGAATTTAAGTATTTAGAAAAAAATTTATTTGTTTTAAACTGATTAAGGATAGGCGTTTTTTGAAAAAAAGCTATTTCAGGACAAGGTGTCGTACTTGAGCGAAGTCCATTCTCAGATTTCATTTTTATTAATGCACTGCGATCTAAAAATTATATTGGACCTGAATGTATGTTTTTATTTTTCTTTTCAACTTTAAAAAGGGAATTTTTTTATGTATGTGGTTAGAAAGGCAAAAATCTTCTGCTGGAAATGTAAAAATAAATTTAAACTTTATTGCTAATAAGAGTATGGCTCTTACTTTCAATAGAAGCATATCTTTCCAAAATCCGAAAAAATGGTATCTTTCTATCACCAGAAAATCTCTATGGCAAAAATTTCTAAATGACTAATAGATTGCGGAACGAATGTAATTGGAAATGATGAACTTGGTGTCTTAATATATGCTTGGGTAAAATAATCAAGACGCTGGCATCTTAGCTTAAACACCATGTGGCCTTTATCCCTGTTAATGTTCCATCAAATCCCGCTCTGCTCTTAATATTCATCAAAAACTCTTTTTTCTTATATTCCTAAATATTCCTATACTATTCCTATATTATATAATATTTCTACCACTTCAAAAATTTCTCAACGCTATGTTTTCATTTCATTCACTCAGATATTATTGTATACATTGTTCGGAAAACCCGAATCACAGGCTGCTAAATAGCAATCTCCATTTTATTTCGTTAATATCTCCGCATCCTACAAACTCCATATCATTTCCTTTATTTTCAATTCTTGCTGTACTAATGCAATATTCTCTAAAGCTGTCTCATACTGCTTCAACAAATTCTTTGCCTTCTATGAATGAGGCACAATGAGATAGAAGATTTAAATTTTTTGAGTAGATTTATCAAAAATTAAGGCTAAAAGCTTTTTAGAAAAATCCATGAGCATTATCTTAATTTTCTACTAGTTTAAAGTGAATTTTTAGTTTGCCCATCTATCTGCTTATTTAACACGTCTTATTATAGATTATATTTATAGATTTCAAGCACTATTACTATGTACGAAAAAATGCTTTAGCAAAATTATTTTTTTGGCCACATCTCGTAATATATTTGGATGCGCCAATTGAAACTTGTCTACAAAATATACGAAATGAAGGAAATGTTAGTATTTAGTATCATATATTAGCGCTAATGATAACTCGATGAGGACCGATGTGACTATAAGATATTTTGACTCCATCTTTTATTTTCGTAATACCCCTTTTAAATTCTTCCGCTCTACATTCTGTGCTATTCCTACTGCATAAAGTAAGCTTTACGTTTGTAATATCGACTATACGAATATTAAAGCTAATATTCTAACTCAAAACTAAGATTGACAAGGCAGCTGTTGCTGATGCATCTTTTATTTCGATAATTGCCGACTCTTATAAGGATTGCATAAAGGAATTCAGGTTAGTTTCAATATATTCCATATGACGACTGTTCAGATTTTATTTTTATTGAATATTGAGGAAGTTCGATAGAAACGTTGTTCAATTTGTTTAACGTTACGATAGCAATTGAATAGCATTAAAATAGCATTAAAGGCAACTGAATACTATATATCACATAGGCTAAAAGTAAATTACAGTTTTCTAATCAATTTCTTTTTTCAGACCACACTCCAAAATATTGGTTTATGATTGGACAATGCCTGGTGATACCGATCGAATCATCGAGGACATCGAAAATATCGATTTCGACTTCTTTGAATGGCATAGTGGCGATGTTTTCGAAGAATGGTTTACGACAATTGGTGAAATTGCATGGGGAGGATGGCGTATTTAGTTATCAAATTTGACTTTGACTATTTTTTTCCAATTTTTATTTTAATCCCATTTCTCCATTTTTACAATACCTTCTCAACAACAAATAATCAACCAAAAAACTTTGATAGAAGAGCTTTTTTCTCTAACCATGAATTTTAGTGTTACATCAAAATTCGAAGCGTATATGCGTGCGTTTGGGGGTATACCCACTCATGAAGTAAACGAGTTATATGTTAATCCGCGAGACACGGGCCATTTTTTGAATGTCATACAGAAAGAGGTTATTTTCAAGTCAAAATTGAATCGCCATTGTTCTGCCCTAATTGCCCTATTTCGCTTATCAGAATTCACATCCACCTTACCATATTTTATTATACTTCTGCTATCAATTTCTCATACTGCTACAGGTTTTGAAAAGCCCATATACATATGGTTATAATCCGAAGTATGGTGATTCTATTTTTGCTGGTTTTATAGTTGGTGGTGGAAAAGTTTTATTGCCAGAACCCTGGTTAGTTTCAATTTTTTTCAAATTTCGTTAGATATCTGCAATCTATGTGATTTATCAGTTCTCATCAATTTTTCTAAAATGAATGAGGAAACATTTATCATATTTGCTAGTTGACGTCAATTCATTCATCATCAGCTGAAAAATAAAAGTTTTTTTTCTAAATGCTCAATTTATTGAAATTTTTTTTTCTTCCTAATTACACTGGTGTAAATCCGTTGATTCTGATGGCTAAAAAGATAAGGCGTTTCCAAGCCGTTCGATCCAATACCGGTACCAGGCAATAATAGAAATCATTCGTTTTTCCATTGCTTAAGCTTATATATCGCTCGACCATCTCTAAGCATTCAAAATCTTTCTTAAATGATTAACAATTTCAGGTATGAATATTACCAAAAAGAAGCATATATCGACCATAAACATTCATTAGAACGAACTGCCGATCCATATAGCGAAAATTACAATCCAGATTATTTGAAAGCACATCACTGATAGCAATTAATTCATTACATAACTATATATAACTGATGAATACAAATTTTGTAAAATAGAAGAAAATAAATAATTTTAGATTTCTTTAATATATATGCAAAATAAAGAAAACAACACAAATGCAGGCAAGAAAGCAATTAAACTTCCATTTAATCAAACCACCTTTCTCTTAAAGGCCAATTCTTCGCAGTTTTCCTATTGCTTCCACAAGTATTTCATTCGCTTTTTCAAATGCTTCCCACTACTCTAAAGTTTTTTCCTTCCTTTCTAGTACTATATACATACCGAATATCCTTTTTTTTCGATACCAATCCCAGTAGATTAAAATTTTCAACTATGGACTCTAAACGACTTTCAGACGCAAAAAAAGAACCTGAGCAATGAAAAATCAAACATAAGAAATTCAAATGAGGTCGAATTTACAAAAACTAATGGCACTATGACTTTTAATTGAAAGAAATTAGGAGAGTGGCCGACTAATTTCCTAACTGGTATCGAAATATAGGTTGTCGGTGACTAGAATGAAAAGGAGAACAATTTCAGATTTGGGCATTCTTAGGAAAATGCCTGTTCCAGTTCAAATTCACCGACACCTTAAAATGTACCCAACGATCCAAAATCGGAATTCTTCCACTTGGCCACTAACAGCCTACACCAATGCCAATGACCCCCCTAACTGCAAACCATATATCTTTAAGATAACAGCGCCACCGAACCTGACCGCTTGCCAAGAGAGCGCATACACATATGCAACAAGATATTCGCGACGCGTACATATTTCAATTTACTTCTCTGCCTCGTGCTATTTAGCTTTTGATCTGCATCTCTGGTCAATAATATTTTCCTACCCATCTCCTAAATCTCTTTTCCCACACTACAACCAATTATCTTTTCCGATATTCTTCTTATCACTAGCCACATCTCATTATATAAAATTGCTTCTGAATTGCTCCACCTTTTTTGTTGCGTTCGTATTTTATTTATGGTTTCATCGGCAGAATGGTGCAGTGGAACGAAAGGGTGGAAAAAGGAGGGGAGTGGAGGATAAGTGAGACGGTGAATGGGGTGGGGGGGAAGGAAGGAGGGGGAGAAAGGGGTTGTAGGGGTTTTCTTTAATCACAAATTGACGAGGGTTTAAGGTTTTATATTTTGGTAATTTGATGTTTTTTTTACACACTTTTTATTTGTTCATAAATCTTTTTCTGATATTTTTTTTTATGGTTTTTTTTTTTTGCATAATATTTATGATTTATAAATTAGAGGATAATTAAAAGAATTCAAAAAATATAGAAATTTGTATTTTCATAGGAAATATGTTTGATTAAGCCAACAATATTTCATCGCGGCTTCATGTTTTTTTTTTTTCATTACTAAATAATCGATAGGTCGGCGAGGTTATTGGTGGTGTTTTATTTGAATTATTCGCTTTTCATTTTTTTTTTCTTTTTTATATTTTATGGGCTTTTTTTATATATTTAAATGTATATATTAATATATTTTATATTAATTTTAAATGTTTATATATTAATTTTATAAAATATATAAAATATATATTTAAATATATTTTAATTTTATGAATAATTTATTCTTATTCATTTTATTTTTTTCGCTGATATTTTTTGCGCATATCTTTTCGTGATATTTACTTCTAAATATAATTACTAAACGTCGGATTCGTCGGGGGTTTTTTTGCACAAAAATATTTAGGTGAAATTTTATGGATCCAACAAAAAACCAGACTTATATATTACATTCAGTATCGCCATTTGATGCAGCAAATGTATCTAAGGTATATAAATATTTTTTCTTATATTTAAAAGTTTTTTTTCTAAAGAGTCCTCACCATTACGGTTTAAACTCGTCCCGCTGGCTTGTCACATTAGACAAATATGCTAAGATCGTCCGGATTTTTGGACAGGTTAATCCTGCGGAGAATAGAATCTCAGCATCGGCAATCTGAGCTACAATCTACTGAGCTATCCTGTTTAAGAGTTATTATTAAATAAAATAGTTTTTGCCAAGTTACTGTGGTTCTTCTGCAGGCAAGAGTAAAATTATCTCTTAAAAATGAGATTCATTACAATGGTTTACCTGTTTATACTTTATAACCAAGTGAATCTTTGAAAAAATTTGCTTTGACTTGTTCGACAACCAAGTGGGGCGACCTTAATCATAATGAGAGCGCTCTTACAAAAAAAAATAAAGTTTGGTTCGATTTGTTATATAAAACAAATAAAGATAAGTGGTTAGTATTCATTATTTCTGGACAGATTGATTGATAAAAAATTTTTGCCTGTAAATTGGTAGTACAACTACAACAGTGAGTTTTGGCGATGAGTCATTCTTCAGCGCCATTATTTAATGGTATGGTTTTTTGCTGACACCAGCGATAGTTTCGAGACAACAGTGCTTGTCACTCGGCTATACTTTCTCCATTCAGTCCATTCAGTCTATAAATTATTTGTTTTTGAAAATTTTATTTTTATTTTAAATTTTATTAAATTTTATAATAAGTATTTATGTAACTAATAATAAAAAAGGTTTGTAAGAAACTAAGTGTTTTATTTTTTGAATTCGTTTAAAAATTGATGGTTCGATTGAATTAATTATTTTTTAAGGCAATGACATCTCCAATAAATGTGACAAATCAAAAATTACAACAACATGCGCTATCAACACTTTCCAATCCGATAGCTAACACCACTCTTGGTTCTATTTTTATTAATTCTCATTCTCATTTATTCTTTAGTATCATTGAATTTTTTTTTTTTTATTCAGACTAAAGTAATTGGGAGTTTATATCGATAATTTGATTTTATCAAAATAATCCACCAGTATTTAAACCCGTAATTTGGTCGATATTATCAAATTTTACCTTCTAGACTTAATTAAGATTTGATAGTTCGAAAATATACCTACTTGGGAAATTATCTAGTTTTAATTAGATCATTTCTAATCATTTTTAATTATTAATTTGATATTTTTGCCTGTAAATCACTTGATGATACGAGTCCAACAATAAATTTGATGATGAGTCAGTTGAGTTAGTGATATTCTATGAATATGTGTGATAAATTTATGTGGTATTCTTCAGTTTATAAATATATATTCATTCTTATAAATATATTTTATTATATTAAAATATATTATATTATATTATCAAATATATTATATATTATAAATATTATAATATCAAAACAAAAATCAAATTCAGAAAATATTTTCGAATTATTTATGTGAATGTGAAGTATTATTATAAATTCGTAAATAATCATTCATTATCATTGATAATTATTAATCATTCATTCGTTTGAACGATAATAATTAAGCTCAAACTGAATTAGCGCATCGAGAGTATCAAGCAGGCCAGTATTATTCGGCTGAAAGTAGGTGTATGAATTTGTATCGTATTGATCCGAACAATGTCAGTGTGCTACTTTTGCTTTCATCGATACATTTTCAACTGAAGCAACTTGACAAGTGCGTCATTTTTTATGATTTTATTCACGATTTTTTTCAAATATTTTGAAGAAGACTTTGAGATTTTAATTTTTAAACAATAGTGAAATCTACGGGTGGTATAAGAACTAAAAAAAAATTTTCTATCAATCTGATTTATTATACTAGAATTCATCAAGAAGATTTTCCAGGTCAATGCGATTTTCTTCACTTGCAATTCGAGCAAATCCAAATTGTGCGGAAGCATATAGCAATCTCGGCAATGTTTATAAGGTTTTTCCATAAAATTTTTTGGCCCATTTTTTTCTTTTATTCTAAATATTTTGCTTCAGGAAAGAGGACAACTAAACGAAGCTTTGGAAAATTATAGAAATGCAGTACGATTAAAGCCGGATTTTATTGATGGTTATATAAATTTAGCAGCAGCTTTAGTGGCATCCGGTGATCTAGAACAAGCTGTTTCTGCATATATAAATGCTCTACAATATAATCCAGTTCATTTTTCATATGATTTTTTTATATGATTTTTTGTTCTGAAGATTGATTTTTTTCTACCATATATATATATATATACACCAAAAAATCATTTTTTGTTCTAGGAACTGTATTGTGTGCGTAGCGATCTTGGTAATTTGCTGAAAGCGATGGGTCGTCTTGAAGAAGCTAAGGTATATTATCGTGATTTTTGCCGATTGTTAATTATATCAATTAATCTGATATAATTCGAAGAAATAAGTAGGATTTGGTGCGAAAGGATTATGATGATGATGATTAGATTAGTAGAGATTATATATTTAATATATACTTATAAATGGTTTATTTTGGGGTAAAATTTTAGTCTAATCGAAGCATGAAATTGTTGTCCATTTTTTATTTTCAATTTTTGTTTATATTATAGAATAAAATTTGTTTGCTTCGATAAGATTTCTAAATCTAGCGATAAAAATTGGGGATTTGACTATTTGCAATGCTCAGTGATTTCAGTAACATCTATGGTTAACTAAAATAATTTTCTTTGAATGACAGAATTAAGATAATTTGTCAGTTAACTTGAAAAATGTTACTAAAATCTTAAGAGAATGAAGTTAAATGAAGTACGTTGATCATTAGAAAAATATTATCAAGAAAAATTAAACCGCTTAACTATCATCGATAAATAAATATTGCGAATTGTTAAGTTTATTTGCGAAATATACCAGTAAAGCTCAGTTTATTTTTATTATTGATTAAAATATGAGTTCCCAGTAAGTAAAATTAAAAATTCATTTATTCAAACTTATTTAAATTTTATAAAATACCAATAAAAATTGAAAAAGTAAGGTGATATTAAGCGGTAATAAATTTTCTTGGAATATTTTATCAACATCCTATTTGCGCGCGCATTCTGACTTAACTCATATATTGTAATTGTTCTGGAACTCGTCACTTTGTTGTGGTTTCAGATTCTTGTATCTTCTTGCATTTATTTTTTTAAATTGTTTTCACGGGAGGAGGAAATAATAAAGTGAAAATGGAGAAAGGAAGAAGAAAGTTGCGTGTTCCATTTATTAGGTAGATTTTTTGATGTGCTGGCTCGCGATCCTTTAAAGCAAATGAAAAGTGTTAGCGACGTTTTTAGAAATTCCAGACAGATAGTCGAATGAAATTTCTGTACTTTTTTGATATTTTTCCAATTAGAATCTTTTCTCGAACACTTTTCTGTTGCTTCCGTTTGAAATGAACATGTACAGTTAAAAGGAATGTTTTTTTTTAAAGAATTCAGTGATAATTTATTAAAATTAATTTATAATTAATTTGTTTTGGGATGAAAGACAAATTCATTAAATAATAGATTAAATAATTTATTAGCGTTGCTTTAAAATAACATTTCATTAAATTTACATGTTCATTATAAGCACAGTTAATTGTATTAGATTTATAATAAAGAAGACTTGAATTTATTGATAAAATTTCTAAACTTTATAATTGGCTGTGTTTAAAAACCCTTTCTCTCCCCTTATATATTATATATATTTTTTTTTCAGAAAAACGTACTTTATTTTAACTTGATTCTAACATTTGAACATTGCTTAATAATAAGAAGTGTTACTGGTTTGTCGTTATTTTTTTATGAACGTGGGTTTAAGAATTAGCAATAATTAGTTGAATATAGGCTTCAAGTTTAGCTTAACTGTAGCTTTCAAAAAATGAAAGAAAGTAAAATAATGGGATTATTGATAGTTTTCGTGCATGGTGCATCATTTGTCGTAATGCTAAAGTTTCGATCACTTGATTCATCAAAATCATGACCAGGTGCAGTGTTATTGATGGTGCAAAAGGAGATCAAATGAAGAGAAGCATTCGACATCTATGGTCACACAATTCTTCAGAAGTAATAATTGGTATGCTAAGAAATAATATAAATAATTCGATCATATTAATTTTCAAATGCTTTGTCGTTATTTTATTAATTTTGGGTCCATTATACATTCACTGGTTCAAATTTTTTATTTTTTACTGAAAAAAAAGGGAATGAATGTTTAAAGGATCCAAAATGCCGTTAATATTAATAATTATCCATGTTGTTTTTTCTTTCATACTTATTGTATCCGTTTCTTTCGCGAATTCTCCGACAATATCTCTTGTTATTTTGATATTTGTTTCTCCAGCCCTTTCTTTATTTGTCGAATTTAATGTTAAGAAAATTGGCGATTTGGCGCGTGCTAAAATATTGCTCGCATTTCTTTGACTATAATTTTGCGCGTCTTTATTCTTACTTTTCAAAAATTTGGATTTTCATCATCAGCGATTAAAAAATTTCTGGTAAGCAGTTTTTTGCAAATTAATATTAAAATTTTATTCTTTTGGAATTATTCTCAACTTTACTAATTTTGAGCGATTTTTATAGGAAAATATCTGATATTTTAGCCGCGAATGTGAAATTTATAATTTTTAATTTGCTTTTAGGTTTGTTACTTGAAAGCAATTGAAACACAACCACAGTTTGCGGTGGCATGGTCGAATTTGGGATGTGTCTTTAATGCGCAAGGTGAGGTATGGCTAGCAATACATCATTTCGAGAAAGCTGTACAGCTGGATCCAAATTTTTTGGATGCATATATTAATTTAGGAAATGTGCTAAAAGAAGCGAGAATATTCGACAGGTTTTTTTATTAGTAAATTTTTTCTTTTCATGGTTATCGCTTAAAATAAAGGTTTTTTACGCAGATTCTTACGCAGATGTTTTTTACGCAATGAGAGACTAATTCTAGGTGTGTACAGTTTTTTTATTTGAAAAAGTTTCAATATAGAGAGAAATTAATGTTTAAAAAATCAAGCAGAAAGAATAAAATTACAAATTACAAAAAATGGGATGAAAATAGCCGTTAATGAAAAGTTTAAGCCTGATATGATGCTTTAAACTTCGTCTAAAAAAAATATTTAGAAAAGAAAATGGTAAAGGTTGTAAAGCTCCTTTTTAAAAGAATTCTGTCTTAGTGGTTAAATTTTTTTTTACTTTTTAGAGCTGTTGCTGCTTATCTTCGGGCGTTAAATCTGGCGAGTAACCATGCAGTAGTTCATGGAAATTTGGCTTGTGTATATTATGAGCAGGGGTCAGTTGTATTATTTTAATAGTTTTTGATTTGTTCAAATGACGGTGTTTTCCGACAGGAAATTATACAAAAGCGGTGAATCTTCATTATAGGTTGATCGATTTGGCGATTGATATGTATAAGAAAGCAATTGAATTGCAACCAAATTTTCCTGATGCTTATTGTAATTTGGCAAATGCTCTCAAAGAAAAAGGATTGGTAGCTGAAGCTGAAGCGGCATATAATACAGCATTACAGGTGATTTAGATTTGTTGCACAATAATGCAATTCAATTTTTAAATTTTCAAGATCTATGTGTTTGGTGTGACTCTCGGTTTTTTTGCTCACATTTCTATGGTTTTTAGTTGTGTCCGACCCATGCAGATTCACAAAATAATTTGGCCAATATCAAAAGAGAACAAGGAAAAATAGAAGAAGCTACTAGACTTTATCTAAAAGCATTAGAGGTTATCTTTGCTTGAACTTAATTTTTTATAATAATCAATTGGAGCAATTTAAATGCTCCAGTTAATATATATTAAATTTTTTTTAAATTAAATTATGTGATTATTATTAACTTTATCGTTTATCTTTTTAGATATATCCGGAATTTGCTGCAGCCCATAGTAATTTGGCTTCCATACTTCAACAGCAAGGAAAATTACAAGATGCTTTAAATCATTATAAAGAAGCGATTCGAATCGCACCAACGTTTGCAGATGCATATTCGAATATGGGAAATACATTGAAAGAGATGGGTGATGTTGGTGGGGCATTACAGTGTTATACCCGTGCGATTCAGATTAATCCTGGATTCGCTGATGCGCATAGTAATTTGGCTAGCATTCATAAAGTATGCTTTCTCTTTAATCTTGAATGGTTTCTTATGAATATTTTGATTTTGTGATTGATAGTTCGATTATTTCTTAGGACTCTGGCAATATTCCTGATGCAATTCAAAGTTATTCTACTGCATTAAAATTAAAACCTGATTTTCCAGACGCTTTTTGTAATTTGGCACATTGCTTGCAGGTATTAAATGAAATTTCCCTTGCTTTTTTTTGTGTTTTAGTTTAATTAGTTATAGTTTTTTCATTTTAATTTTATACTTTTTCGATTTTTTTAAATTGGCAAAATTTTTTTGGTCTTAATTAATATTGTCGCCAATTTATTTCAGATTATTTGTGATTGGAATGGTTACGATAATCGTATGAAAAAGTTAGTGGCAATAGTCGATGATCAACTTCAAAAAAAGCGTTTACCATCGGTTCATCCTCATCACTCTATGCTTTACCCCTTGAGCCATGCTGCACGTATTGCAATTGCTTCGAAACATGCTAACCTGTGCGCTGAAAAAGTTAATAATTGATTATCTATATAATTGATGAAGAAAGTGCAATAATTTATTAATCTTTTCAATTAAATTATTTAAAAAAATTTTTTTTTTGATTTTCAGGTACAAGCATATAATCGGATCTATAAATATCCTGATCGAATGAGTCTGCTGAATGGTCATCGATTGCGTGTTGGATATGTATCATCTGATTTCGGAAATCATCCAACTAGCCATTTGATGCAGTCAATACCTGGAATGCATAACCGTGAAAATATTGAAGTATGCATCTTATAATTTAATGACCTTTCTTTCCAAATATCTTATCAACCATTTTTTTGATCTGTTTCTTGATAATTTTTTAGATTTTTTGTTATGCTCTGTCTCCAAATGATGGCACTAATTTCCGTGCAAAGCTCATGAATGAATCAGAACATTTTATTGATCTCTCGCAGGTGATTGCGTGTTCTTTATTACATATTTAAAGAACTTTTTTTGTAGTTTAAGTAATTTCCATGAAAATAATGGTGCATATTGAGCTTTTTAACAACTTATAGATTCTTTTTTCTTTAATTTTTATTGTTTTTGGTTATGTTTGAATGATATTCCAGGTAAGCAGTGTTGAACAAGCGGCTGATCGCATTAATGAGGATGGCATTCATATTCTTATCAATATGAATGGATATACTAAAGGAGCGCGTAATGAAATATTTGCCTTGAAACCAGCACCAGTCCAGGTATGCATTTAAATTTTAATCGGAACGAATTTTAATTAAATTGAATTTTATAAAATTGTTACAAAAATATAGATAAATTAATTAGATTTTTTCTATTTTTAATTTTTTAAAATTTACAGGCAATGTGGCTTGGCTATCCAGGTACATCAGGAGCTGTTTATATGGATTACATCATTACAGATGCAGTGACATCACCGCTTAGGCTTGCTCATGCATACACAGAAAAACTGGCTCATATGCCACATACATTCTTTATAGGTGATCATGCTCAGATGCTTAAACATTTAACTGAACGTGTTATTCTTAAAGTGAGTCATTCATTTTGAATCATTCATTGTTTTCTGGAGAGTTGTTGCATCTTTATTTTGAAAAACACTGAGCTAGTGGATTAATGCGTTATCTGATTGTGACCTCGTCACATCTGGAAGCGGTCTGAAATTGCATATTCATGAAGAAAATATTAAAGGGGACAGTTGCAGGAAAAGAATGATTCGTTACCTCCGGAAAAAGATACAGTGGCGGTTGTTAATTCTGTGAATTTGGAACCACTTCTACAAAAGGATTTAAAAGTATATTTTAGGAGGAGATAGTTAACGAATTTTTTTAATATAATAATTTTGATTAAATAATTTAATATAATAATTATGCTCATAAAATATATGATTCTCTTTTTGTTTAGATATCAATAAAGTTTAATTTTTTTTTCAATTTAGCCATTTGTTCGCGAAACTGAAGTTTCGCATGGTCCAAGTCGCGATCTTATCAAAACTGAAGTTGTTATTCCCGTTTTCGAAGTACCTACTACGGAACCACTAACACAAATGATTGGTTCGGGTTTGATCGCAGGCAATGTTGAGGGAGTTGCTATGCAGAATGGACTTACTACTTTGACTCAGGTATTGAAAGTATCGTTCATTTCTTGGAAATTACGTTAAATGTCGTAATAAATTGGCATTAGGTTTTTTATAATTTGGTTTTTATTTATCTCGACTTCAACTATTGAATTTTAAAATTGAAATTTAGAAATTTAGAAAATTTAAATCAAGCTTCTTTGCTTGATTTTAAATAAACTGTATTATATTTCATTTTTCTTTTTATAAAAAAAATCCTTTCTCAAATCGTGGGGGTGTTATGGTCATTCTTAACTTCGCCTACTAGGTCGTCTACCAGAAGTCTTGAAGATTCTGCCCTTCTGTTCCCAGCAGTGAGCCTTCCGAGCAGAGATCTCTGATTTTATTCCTGGTCTTCTAAAGCCTTTTTTCTTGTTTAGAGGTTATAGTACTTAGTGTCGCTATTACCAATGAGTTCACTTTGATCTTTACTTTCCATATTTCTTGTTCCTCTTTTTTTCTGTGACTTCTAATATTTTTTCTTGTTTTCTAATGTTCTTGTCATTTGGTATTCTAGTTCTTTTACCGTGATGTCTGGTTGATTGGTGTTTGTTTGCACGCGGAGTCTCATAGGACCTTGACCTTATGATTTTACTCGATTTTTCCCCCACCTAGAAATCTCACCTGATCTGGTTTGAATTATATACTGGGCAAATTCCTTGCATTGGCAAGACAAGATGTATATAGGAAAATTGCAGACTCACGTTAAGGCTTCAACTGGTGAGGAAGTACCGCATGCAATTTTAGTAACTTCACGACAACAATATGGCCTTCCTGAAAATGCTATCGTTTACTGCAATTTCAATCAACTCTATAAAATTGATCCACCTACTTTGACAATGTGGTGTGATATACTGAAAGCGGTCAAATTTTTTTTGTTTTTCGAACGTTTATTAAACACTTTGTTAAATTGGAAGTAAAAAATTTAAAATCTAAAAAATAAAGTCTAAAAAAGTAAAATCTAAAAAAATCTTATTGATATTTTTTGATTGTTTTTAGGTACCTAATAGTGTTTTATGGCTTCTTCGTTTTCCATTTCACGGTGAGCCTAATGTAGTTCGTTTCTGTGTTCATCATGGGATTGATGCTAGACGTATTATATTTTCCAATGTTGCGGCTAAGGAGGAACATGTTCGTCGAGGTCAATTGGCTGACGTTTGCTTAGACACGCCATTATGTAATGGTCATACAACTGGGATGGATATTCTTTGGACTGGTACACCGATGATTACCATGCCGTGTTTGTTTTAAATTTTTGTTGAATTTTAAGTTAAATATAATCTTTAAAAAATAGCTCTTGAACCGCCAGTTTATTTCAGTGGAAACTTTGGCTTCTAGAGTGGCTTCAAGTCAACTTTATGCACTAGGTGTACCAGAACTTGTGGCCAAGGATCGAGAAGATTATATAAAAATTGCTGTTAGACTTGGAACTGATCAAGAATAGTAAGATATTTAAAATTTTTTACTTTTCTTATTAGAACTCATTTTTTGTAATTTTTATTTTATATTTTGATTGTGCCATTTTTTGCTTTTAGCTTGAGTCAGATGCGTGCCAAAGTGTGGAAAGCACGTACGACTTCGACCTTATTTAACGTACGTCAGTACTGTGCTGATATGGAGCAGTTATTGCATCGCATGTGGAAAAGATATGCGGATGGCTTAGCGCCTGAACATATTTTATCAGAAAATAATTTTGACATTGACGTCTAAAATCCATGTATTTTTTTTTTAATTAAAATTTTCAAGCAATTCAAATCTTGGAATCTGCTATGTTTTGGCCTCGAATAGGAAAAAATCGTTGCACATTCTTATCAAGTGGCTTTTCATTAACAGGGAATTAGGGCAGGCTTATCCTTTATCTTTGGCAGAAGGTAACCCACTAGAAAATCAAGTTCATAATCAACATGGAATAATCTTTTTGGGGATTCCTTTTTTTCAAATTTTTTTAAATATGGCTTTTTTTAAAAATTTTTATGTGCTTATAATTTTTTATGTTTATGGTTGATTACGGTGTTTACTTCGCATATCATGAAATCAAAATTTTTTCTTCGTGGTTGGCCTTATTTTTTTGACGTTTGAATGAAATTAAATTATTTTTTTCCTGTACCATTTTAATCTTACAGAGACTATTTTATTTTATTGTTGGCGCTTCTTTCTCTTTCGAACGCATTTTTTTAGATTTTTGAATAGATGTAGTGAAAACAGGGAAGAAAGTTATAGATTGCGTTAGCAACCTGCTGGTTTTGTTGATTCCTTAGAAAAAATAGGTATATTTCTAGCGCCAAACAGTCATTCGGGAATAGAGGAATAGAGAGAATATATGGATTCGAAAACCATCCGAATTTCCTTTTTAATTGCTTAACTTTCTCCAGATGATTAGATCAAATTGCTTACCTTCAGCTGAAGTAAAATACGGCTCAACCATTGTGTCTATTTTCTTTGTATTTAATATAGAAATTCAATTTAGATAATATAGGTTTTAAATTTTTTTATTTTTTTCGAATGTGTACATTTTTTTTAGGGTAAAGTATATTTGTTTCTTATAGAAAAAAAGCCTATAATTCTTCTGGTTTCATTTCTGATTTATTTTAGCTGTCGCTATTGTATTATAACGGCTAAACTATTTTTATATAAATATTTGACGATAATTTTCATTGCTCTTAGCTGTAATGGATTTGAATTAGTGTTTAAATTAAATGTTAAACAGCTGCGTTTACTAATATGATTTGCATTATCTTATCTCAGTCTGATTTTTTTTAACAAAAGAAAAATTTTGCTTGAAAAATATGGCAAAACGGCAAATTTGAATCGATAGGAGTATTACCTTTACCTTTTACCTTTTACCTTATACCTTTTACCTTTTACCTTAGAGATTTTACCTTTTTAAGATTTTGCAAAAAATTTTATTTGCTTTTAAAAAATGAATCAGAAAGATGGAACGGTCAATACAAATATTTTGGGTTATTTATTTTGGGTTATATTCATATTTTTATTAGATAATTTTAATCGTTTTACATTTCAAAATATTTTACTGAAATACGAAGATGCGAAAGCAAAATGTACAAATTTTAATTGTGGATTGAATTAGCTAGAATTGGAAATCAGTTGGTACTAGTGATCCACATCTTCTAAACATGAGTCCACAAATGTTGCAGCAATTTATAGTTCAACGTCTGGTCTGATGAACCAGCTAAGCGAGCGATGCTAGCAATAAGCAGTCGCTGTTTTTCTTTGAAATTTTAAAATTAATTAAATAATTAATAAAATTTAATTATTAAATTAATTAAAATTAAAATAATAAAAATAATAATAATTTAAATAATAATAATTAAAATTAGAATAATTGCAATAATTAAAATTTATTTTGCGGTTTGTTTAGAATAATTATAATTAATATTTTCTCATCACGTTAATTTTTGAAATTGATTAAATCTTTAAAAATTAGAAAATTTGAAATCTTTCGAAAAATATCTCAACGAATTATTTAGCGAATTGAAATTTTTTAGTGGTATTCATTTCAAATTCCTTGTATATTAAATTGAATCGGCGTTTTTTTTGACTGAAATTGCTTATTTTTTTACATTTTCCTAAATTTTTCCGAGAATTAAGACCACGAAATATTTCCCGAAATTAGAACGGTGAAAAAAATTTTTTCTACTTCTAATGTAATCAAGTATGGTGTAACGAATTATTCGACATTTTTTATAATCCCAATAAATGATATTTTTAATAAAAATATTTTTATTTTTTTTTAAAAAATATATAGAATATTACATAACGCAACAATTTGCATATTATATAGTTCAATGTATTTTATTATGGTTTGCTGTGGAATGATGATTTTCAACTTCTTTCCAGGTTTGCAGATAATAATATTCGCTGTTCTTGTCCTGACATTTTCATTATAAATATTTATTATTAATAAATAAATAAATAATAATAATTAAAATATAGCTGAAAATATATAGCTTGCTTTCTGCCAGTATAGAACTCTTCGAAATTTATGAATATATAATAAATAATATATTTATTATATATTTATTTATTAATAATATTATAAATATATTTATTTAATTAATTAATTAAGTTAATATATTTATTATAAATATATTAACGAAATAATTATTAAATTATTTAAAATGATTTTTTTTAAAACTTTAAAATATCTTTTTTAAAATAAAATATGCACGTGATATTAATTATAATTATTCGAAAAAAAATTATATTTTTCGAAAAAAATGCGTAAATTTAAAAAATAAAATTTCGAAATGAAAGCGAAAAATCGGATAAAATTGAATTATATTTGAAAAATTAAAAAAAAAAATTAAATTCTATTATTAATCGAATGAATTCGACAGAGAAATTGCACAAATTGAAATTCTCTTAAAATTTTTCTAACCGGTTTTTGTATTCGTCAAAAATATTTCAAGAAGAAGCAATTTACATGTAGAAACTTTTCAAATTGTCATTTGTCGTTCGATGGTAGAAATTTTTTTTTGTTTTTTTTTGCTTTTATTTAGAACAAAATTTTCATATTTAATATTTATAAAATTTTATGATATTTTTTTTTTAGAAATTCATTCGAAAAATGATTTAAAAAAAAATTTTTATGAAATTTTTAATTTTCTAAATTTCAATATTGCGCAATGGTGGCTCCGCTAGAAGGGCTTCTTTCCTATTGTGTAAATTTATTTATTTATTGCGATCGCTCTTCGTGAATTTGTCGCATTATAAAAGAAATTCGCTATTCGAAAAGGCGATTTTCTATTTTTTTCAGTTTTTTTCATATTCGGAAATTTTCTTCAACAACTAAAATAAAACAACAACTAAAATAACAATAATGCCTTATACAATAATAAAAAAATTTTCCAAGAAATATTTATTATAAATCGCTGAATCGGCTAAAATGTTTTAGAAATATTTTAAAATAACGCATGAAACTATTTGAGTAAAATGCATGAATGAATGGAATGGATGAAAATGAAATTTTTTCATCGTTTTGTATTGTTAATATTAGAAATTTTTAATAATTTACATTATAAATCATAATCAAAATACTCGAAAATAGAGAATTATCGCGTAGCGCTGAATTTCATTGGATATTTCGAGATATTTCCTTCATCGATTATCAATTGATAACGGATTTTATTATCAGTTTCACCAATTGCAATTAGATGAATGAATTTAATTGTTTTTAGTTCATTTTTCTAATATTAACGACAATTTTCACTACTTTATAGTTGATTTATGGATTTATGGATGCGATGATTTTTGCGATAATTTATTTTTTCCTGCTGATAATTTTCTTTTTTTTTCTTGTAAGAACTAAATTTTTTTCTTCAATAAAACATATTGGACAAATCGAATAGTTTAATGGATTGGTTGAGGAAATCCATTTCGGAGATTTAACTGCTGCTTGCAGTTCGAGACCCTTTCTTTCTTATTTCGAAAACATACACAATAATGGTGACGAGTGATGGGCACTTGCGACGGCTATTGCCATGTGGCTCTCTAATGAAATTAGTCTGCTTCGACAAGCTAACCTAACAAGAAATGGTGAATGCTATGAGCGAAATGCTAGTGGTGAATGCTACTAGCAAAAAAAAATCGCGTAATACGCCGTAATATCACAATTTTAATTAAGAATTACAATAAAAAATTTATGCAAATTTACCGAAAAATTTGCAAGATTTTGAAAAATCTTAATCTGCTTATTTTTTTCATATATATAATTAAAGTTTTGCAAAATTTTTTTTTTATTTTTATTCATTTCAATGAATAAAGAAAAAATTATTGAAAAAATTTTTTTAAGAAAATTTGAAAAGAATTTTTATTCATAAAATTTTTTTAAATCTAAAGTTAACATATTTTTCTATATAAAACATTTTATCAATTTTGTTGTTGTAACGTAATAAATAATTTTAAATGATCGAACGATGAATTTTTTTCATAAATTTAGTTGTTATCAATATTGATAATCTTTCAAATTGAAAAAAAAAGGCAGAAAATAAAAAAGAAAAATATTTATTACATGATTTCTATGATTTTTGCTATTATATTTAATTTCATAAATTTTTGGCACAATCAATTAAAATAAAATGCAAATATAATAATCTTCTTCTTTCTCATAACGCATTGGTTAAGGTTGGCTGCAAAGATGAGTGAATCTCCGTTTCCAAGCCAAAAATTCGGTATTCGATTATGAGCTGATATGAGCTGATATCACTTCTTTGTCCACCGTTTAAGTCCATTGTCCATATACTGCTAGGCTGCCATCCGAAATCTCTCCTGTTTTAATTCATATCTTCAACTGGCTTTATCGTTTTTTGGTACCATTCATCGTAAGAATTGCAAAATGGCGAGAAATATCCTAATTCTCGAGGCAAAAGGCTTAGTCTAATTAGTATAGAAAATGTTTTGTGAAGAAATTAATATAAATGTTAGTCGATCGAAATTGAATGCAAATTTTTATCGGTGGAAAAGTAAATGATACTTTGGGCAAAAATGGTCAAAAATACGGGGATTATATGTGGATTGCAATCGGACGCAAATTTCTTTTAGTTTTAGCTAAACATCCTTACACCAAAGTGAAGCATTCAAAATTTTCAAGGAGCTTTCGTCACTTCTTAATATTTGCATTGAGTTAAATCCTACAAAAAGGAAAATAATACTAAAATAATAAAAAAAAAAAGTCAAAAAATCAAGGCCTTAAAAAATTTAATCTTATATAAGAATATCGAAAATTTCATGAAATTCCATAAACAGCTTCGCTAAATAGATTGTAACATTTATAGATGCGATTCTCGGAGATGGAATTTCATCCATAACCAATCGGTGTATCCGTTTTCGGATTTTCGGATCTTAGATTAGATTAAAAATTAATACTTCATTGACTGAAGATAATATTTATGGGTAGAGATATTTTAAAAGCACCGTTAATACTTATATAGTCATATAAGATGAAAAGTTTCAATTCACCTTATTTGCACCTTATTCACCTTACTTAATTTGAAGTATGAGTTTTGTTGCAGTTATCGACATATGCTTTTGTGCCTCGCATGATTTGCAATTCTTCATACTATTATCAAAAAACAATCAATGTTAGCGATTTGCGCATTGAACTGATTTGCACGTCTCTTGAGTTTTTGCAATCAATCAGTTTTTACAAGATTTATCGTATAGGCGTATAGTTTAAGGGAAAAATCGTAGCCCTTACTGATGGACCTTAATAACTCGATCTTTTCTTAATGCACGGTCAGTTTAAAATTATGTCCAATAGGAAGGCGAAATACTTTTTCGACAGGCACTATTGTTGTAATAGCCAGGATCCTAGCTAGAAGAATTCGGCAATCTACCTGAGCAGTTGGCAATTGCATCATCTTTTGCGTGATTTAAATCATTCTTTTCCCATGATGACGTGGATTCACTTGTAAAATAAATAAAGATAAAATAATATCATCGATATCACTGATACTTATATCGATATTTTGATAATTCTGCTGAGAAGAAATGAACAACAAAGATCAACAAAAGATTGTGGCTTCAATTTTTTTATCCTTTTTATATATTATAAATAGACAATCATATTTCAATACTGCGATAAAAAAAAATTCTTCCAGCGACACCATAATTCACCATAATTTAGTCAGTTGGATCCGAGTGACTGGTTATTATTTTTCTATAATCAGGCATCTTCCATGTTAATTGGAATTCTTAATTGAAATTAAAAATATTAAATATTAAATATTAGCCTAACATCGCTCGTTTTACGTTTTTATTTCATATTCACTCCGTTCCAAAGAAAGAATTTGAACCGATATTGTCTTCATAAAAAATTATCACAATGGTGATAGTTAATGGTGATAATTTGTCACCAAAGATCGTTCTGATCAAATTTAAGCGGATCAGAATTTAGTTTTGAGAAAAAATTTCGATCATTTAATGAATAAAACGACACATATGGTGCTTTAAACGTTTATTAGAGTAAAACTCCTAAAGCGTTGTCAAATAGCATTTCCATGGAATTTTCATTGCAGCTCATTAAAAATTCTTCAAATTCGTCATTGATGAAGAAGAGATGAAATAGAGGAAAAAAAAAGTCTTCGATTACTAGTTTTATTTAAATTCTCAAAAAAACATTCGAATCTGCAATGTGACAAAATATGTGATAAAATTTCGACTAAAATTTTAGAGTTTTGTCTTTCACTTCATTTTTACTTTTTTGTAGGAGTTTTGTTCATCATTTCTGGTTACACTTATTCAGTTGGTTTATTGCGACAAATTTGTCGAGGAATCATTTGATTTGACAGAAGTACAAGTGGACGGCTAACACTATCCGGAAGATTTTTACTAGCGGCTAACATTTCCGGAAGATAGATCTTCTATAGAACTTCTATCTAGCGTAGAATTCCAGTATCGTTGTTTCATAAACAAATAAAAAAAAATTGCAATCCATTTAAGTCATTTCATCTTCGAAATGAAACTATTTCATAGGCGTTGAATCGAATTGCATAGTTTTACAGTTTTACCAAATAATCTAATCGTTGATAGATTCGCTGAAAATAAAAAAAAAGGAGGAAAGGGAAAGAATATAATTATCTCGCTAAAAATTATTTTTCATCTCATAAAACTCTTTTCAGTTTATAATGATTCGCAAACGATCGTTTAATGAATCTGATTCGCTTGATCCGCCGGGTCCATCTTCTGAATCACAAGACACTATTTGCCCACTAAGTTCGCATAGCGGTCAACCTGGTTAGTGAATTTCTAACATACTAAAAGCCCTTAACATATATATAATCTATCCGATTTCGATATTGTAAAAAATACGCTTTTTTTCGAAATTAGATTATTTATTGAAAACCAGCCAAGCAAGGCGCAAGCGCCATGTTTTAATAACAACAGTTAAAAATAACAAATAATAAGAATTAATGCAAAAACAAAAAAATAATTTAAAATAAAATAAGCAATTTAAAGATGGAATAAAGAGGAAATTACAAAATAATATAATAATATAATACAATTATAATACAATTCGAGTATAATACAATTCGAAACAACTATAATGGATGGTAAAAATCGCGATTTCACACTTTTTGCATGATGTGAATTTTTTAAAATAATATCATAAATGATATTATCTAATCTTTTTTTAAAGATAGCTAGGGATAGCGCACAAGTTATATCATTCGGTAGTTCATTCCAGTAATTAATATTACGAATAAAGAAATCATGAGTTCTTAGTTTGCTTTCGAACAAATCGAAATATTTATTGTATTTTCGTTCAATTTATTATGAATTCTTCTCAATTTTTGTTAACAAAAAAAGAAAAAAAAGTCAAATTTATTAAAATATTTCAAATGGTTAAAATTTTTAGGACATATTTCTTAGTATTTTTCGCTCAATTCTAATTTAAAATGTTCTGAGCAAAAATGTGATTTTCATTCTTTTTTTTACCACAAAAGATCATTATTATTGTAAGAAATCGCATAATTCGATTTATTTTGTTTTTATAATCGTTTTTTTTCCAAATTCGAGTTATTTTAATTCTTTCTGACAACTTAAATTTGCAGGTTTTTTTGAAATAGAAATTATTTGCAGTGATAAATTCAAATTTTTATTTATATTTTTTAATTTACTTTCATATTATTTTCAATTTTATATTTCAATAAATAATTTTATTTTAAAATTTTTAGAAATAAATTTAATTAATTAATTAATTAACGCATATTAACTTTTCAGATGATAAAACAATTGAAAAAGGCGCTGATTATAGTTTTGAAAGCGATAAAGATAATGAGGAAAAATTTAATCGTTATTTGAATAGAGATGAACAAGAAGTAGGAGCAGTTACATCGAATTTAAGTGGAAGACGAAGGATATCTATGGCAATTCTTTTTTATTAATGATTTTCTATAACAAATAAATAATAAATAAAAAAAATTCGAAATAATCTAAAATAACTAATAAATATTTTGATTGGTGATAATAAATAATAATTAATAATAATAAATATAATAATAATAAATAATAAATAATAATTTTTTAAATTTTTGCTACTAATAGCACCCAGCGATTTAAAAAAAAAAAAAAAAAATATTATGCATTTTTAAAAAAAATGCTTTATAATCAGAAATAGCAAAAATGATTTTGAAGATTATGGAAGGAACTTTTTGTAAACGTGAAGCATCTGAGGTCAATGGATTCACTAAAAATGACCGCAAATTATCTTTCAAGTATCAAAAGCGAAATTTTCTTCGAAAAATTTTAAAGTTCTGTTGTCTATCTTCCATAAAAATAATTCTATTTATATGATATTCAAATTTGTGAAAAAATAATCAGTTGATATCATTCAATGAACAATCAGTCATCTATCAGTCGAGCTTCGAGTTTCATTTAATTGAGTTTTGGAGCAGATTTGCGATTCTTTTTACAATTCTCTAAAGAGAAAATTTGGCAAAATTCGCGGAATTCATAAATGATAAAAGAAATACAAAAATAATTCCCAATATTATTATTATTCACGACACATAAAATTATGTTTATCATTATGTTGAACAATAAATTGATGATTATATATTATTGATAAAAACATCATGCATAACATAACTGTTATAGCTATTAAACTAAGACGAACACGTAAGGATTCAATGTATCGCCGCTTGTTTGCACCATGAATATAGCGCTTAAAATTTACTAGATGGACTCATTGGTCGTGCTAGAGAGGGGGGTTAGAGGGACTATTTATTGCTCGTAATTTTCTACACTTCATTGAGAGTGTCTTCTGTGACTTTTACGAAACTCGATGCTCAGCTGTTTATTAAAATATCAAAGCCTAGCCAAATTGCATTAGTACTGGCCATACCATTATAAACCATTGCACCACCAGTCAGCATTGTATTTTTCTTATTTGGTTAATCCATCGCATATCCCTTGCCAAAATTCAGTAAATACCTAAATCATTAACTCTTCTCCTCAGTAAAACGGAGAAAAGGCTCTTTCCATTTGCATATTTTTCATGGATTTGGAGGCAAACCGGTCAATTTCGAAGCTATTGTCACTAAACAATTATATCAATTATATCAGTAATCAATTATCAATTTTTCATAAAAAAATTTCAGATACCATAACAGTTTTGGATTCAGTCACTATCTCCTTGTTTTCTTCCTCAGCACATATGCAGTGATCGGTGGTTTAATTTTTCTTCATTTAGAACGCGATAATGAACTTAAAAAATTACACGAAAAAAAGGAAATGCTTACTCAGTAGGTAATTTCTATTTTCCTTTTCATGATAATTTATTAAAATCTTCAAAAAGCTTGAATTTTAAATTATTCATAGAAAATAGAGTGGTGGATTGTTATCTTCATTCTTATCAATTTTAATTTATTTAGTTTATTTTAATTTATCATATCTACCATATCACCAATGAATACAACGAACATTATTAGTATAGGCTAATAAGAAAAAAGTTTTCTTTATTAAAGAATTTATTAAAAATAATATTATATTGAAGATTGTTTGAGAATATGAGCATCGCCATTTATGAAAATACAAATATTTCGCTTAAAAATGAAATACGAAATATAACAATAAAAATTTTACGGTATATATTCATTTGCCCATTAAAAACTTTTACTATTTGTCTTTGCGCAAAATAGTATTGTAAAAATTTTAAAAGTCTATCAAATCGTCAATTCTCCTTAATTTTTTCGCTTATTGAACAGCGCTATTGAATAATTTTACGATTTATATGTTATAGTGATTACTATGGCGATATGCTTAAGATTGAAGGAAAATATTCTGGAAGTATTTTCGACAAATGGGATAATATTGATCAATCGTTGACCTGGAATTTTCGTACAGCAATTTTCTACGGTAGGTCAATGCATTTCGCTTTTCTATTTAGTTAGATTTTGAAAAATTGAAAAAATTGAAAAATTGTTGTTGAAAATTTTTTTTTATAATAATGAAATTTGTCGTAATGAAACAATTTTTTATCAATGAATTTATCAAATATTCACCATTCATTTAATAATTTTTTTAATTTAATCATTAATAAGATTTCAATTTCATAAAAAAAAATAATATAAAAAATACTGATTTTTGCCAGTTTCTCTCTAAGAAAGATTTATTTTTTTAAAAAATTTCAGCTTGGACACTTTTCACAACGATAGGATTTGGAACAATCGCTTGTGATACATTATTGGGAAGACTAGTGCGCTAATTATTAAGCTTTTATTTCGACACTAAATTTCATCAAAACACTTTTCATTCATTATTTAGAAGTATAATACCACCTGGAATTTTTTTTTAACGATAAGTTTCCCTCTTAAATTTGGTAGGATTTTTCACCGAATCACAATGTGATAGTAGAAATGATAGTCGAAACGATACGCATACCTATCGTTATCCGCTACCTTTTCGTCTCTTTTTTAATTTATAATTTATATAATTTATAACTTTAATTTTTAATTTATAAATTGAATCAAATCGTTAAAATGATGAACAATTTTTAGATTTCCATTGTCTATGGTATGATTGGCATTCCCATAATGCTTTTGGTTGTAAATGATAATGGGCAGTTATTTATACGCGGTATTTGCTTCATATATGATTATATAGAGCATATAATTGGGTAATGACAATTTATTATTATATTTATTATTATATTATTATATTATTTGTTAGTTATTAAATATTTATATTAAGTATTATTAAATATTTATATTAAATATTAAATATTTAAATATTTATATTAAATATTATTAAATATTTATGTTAAATAATATTAAATATTTATATTAAATATTGTTAAATATTTTTATTTATTTATTTATTTGCATTCTTTTGCTGTAGAATCGCTGTAGATTTTGAATAATTAAGAATGGTTTAATAATTTAGAAAATTGAAACAAATTATTTCGAAATTTATCAGTTGTAAATATTGCGATGATTCTGGTAATGATGAACAGGTTTGCTTATTTAGCGTTATTATTTTTTTATTTTAAATATCTCAATAATTCATTGTAAATTTTAATAAAAGAACTAGGCTGAATAATAATAATAAGAAATAGGCTGCCAGAAACATCCATCGTTGTAATCTATAATTTTTTTTTTCTATGATAATTATGGCAGAGTTATTCCTCTTAGTCCTCCTCTTATTCCTCCTCTTGTATCCATTAAGCAGAAGCTAAATCCTTTTTTCTATAATTTAAGCTCGCCCGATTATTCTGACCTTTAAGATTCATATTTTTGGAAAATTCTTTTAAGAATCATTTTAGATCTATCACTTATTTGAAAAAATATGTAAAATATAAATTTGTAAAGAATTAATGCAAAAAATTTGTCAGTGCAGATCAATCTTATCAAAAGATAAGAATCATAGCAATAAATATTAATAAATTATTAATATTGTCAGTCCTTATAAACGACATTAGTCCAGTAATAACGAAACTATTAAGGAAGCTTAGGTTGGATAGCAAGAATCTTATTTCTTCTCTCATTGGCAACTTGCGATTTATGAAAAATTATTCATTAATATAATTTCAGCCTATGAAATATTTCCCACCTTATTTACTTATTACTATGTCAGTTATTTATTTAATTTTCTGCTCCATTATTGTCTCAAATGTTGACAGTTTAAGTGAAGAAAACACAAGATTATCACTCTTCGACTCATTCTACTTTACGTTAGTTCTTTTTCAGTTATTAATTAATTCGATCTATTCCAACTAAACGACTTCTTTGCTCAGCCAAATATTTTAGGATTTCTGACTGAAAAACTGGCTTATGTAATTATATAATATTCCCAGTTATAAACAATTTCTTAATATGTATATATATATATATATGATAAATATATAATAAATATAAATATATAAATATAAATATATAATAAATATAAATATATATATATATATATATATATAAATATAAATATAAATATTATATATATATATATAACAATATATATATATATATATACAAATATAAAAATATAAATATATAATAAACATAATAAATAAATATATAATAAATATATAATATATAAATATAAAAAAATATATATTATACATACAAATATATAATAAATATAAATATAGACTTTTCTTTAATTTAAATAAATCATTTAACTACTGCTAATTTTTTTGTTTCTTACTTCTAATACTTTCGTACATGTTCAAAAAAAGAAAAAAATTGCATTGAATGAAAAGTAACGGAGCTTTCAGCTTTCCTAGCGCAGCAATTTCTACATGTACGTTTTAGTGCTAATAATTATGTAATATATTCCCAGTTATAATCAATTTTTAAATGTATATATATATATATATATAATAAATACATAAAAAATACAAATATATATAATAAAAATATACAATATATATAAAAATATAATATATATAATAAAAATATACAAATACAAATATATTATAACAAATATATACAAAAATACAAATATATAATATATATAATATAATATATATATATATATATAATATATAATATATATAATATATATAATAATATCTAAATAAATATATATTATATTTATATTATACCATATATTTATTTCCAACAAGTTCATCTCAACGAGGAATAGAATCTCGGCATAGGCGCTCCAATCTAAATATATATTTATTTATAAATATATACAAATATATAATAAATATAAATATAGATTTTTCTAAATATAGATTTATAACTGTGGCAACAATTGGCTTAGGCGATCTTATGCCAAACAGCATTCAACATAATCCATTTTTATGGTATCTATTTTTAATTGGTATTATTTTACAATCTGCAACCAATGTGAGCATTTGTAAGAGTTTGGATACGAAATTTTCAATTGCTGTTCGAAGCTTTGAAAAACGATTCAACAAAAAATTAGATCAAATCATTAATCGCTCAAATCGTCCTGGTCATTCAGTTGTTAAATCATTAGGTCCAAGCATACAGGTTTGTCTACAATGCCTTCATGCAAGCCACATTACAATCATTTCAGCTATTATCAGCTATATATAGCTTTCAATGGAATCATGTAAAGTCAGCTAATAAAATATTTTATTTATTAGCAAATAGCTTTCAATGGAATCATGTAAAGTCAGCTAATAAAATATTTTATTTATTAATGAGCCAATTTTAATAAAAAAATCATTTTTAAATTCTTCAATCAAATGAAAACTATTTTTAGTTATTGGCGATGATATTACCAATATACGATGAAAATGATGGTAATACTGGTGCAGCACTTACGAAACCGAAAACCACTGAGAAAAAACAGATACGGAAAAGAAATTGGTCACGAACAAGCAATTTAACAGCCTCGAAATACGGAAGTAATACAGCACTTGGTGTCTTTTCCATTAATTTGAAGCCAACAAGGCCATTAAGGCCATTAAGATCTCTATCAGTTAAGGTAACTTATAGATGCCATTATTAATCAAAGCCACATATTTTTGACAAAATTTCCAAATTTTCCAAATATATCGAATTCCTTATTCCATTTAAAGTTTGAAACCTTTAAAAAAATTCTTGTCAATATGAAAATATTATTTCCTATTATTTATAGGAAACGAATTCTACTATAATTCCATCGGAGGATCCATTTTTAGGTAATTAATTTACAGCTTTTTTACGTAAAATTTTTGAAATAAAATTTATAAATTTATAAATTTATAAATAAAGCATTGTGATAATTTAATAGCATCATCAATGTGGTTATCAGTTAGATGTTAAGCAACGAAATGCGATGAAGAGAATCGATTGACCTACCAAGGACTTAATATTAGACTTTTCATAAGATTAGTGGTCAATCTAATCGTTAGCTTAAACCAGTTTTAAAAAATAATTTTTCGAATTTCATTTATAGATATTTTTATATAATATAATTTTAATTTATTAATATAATTTAATAATATTTTTATATTTATTATTAATTCTTATATATATTTTTATATTTTTTATATTTATATTTATATTTTTTATATTTTTTTCTGTTTTTATCAATACTTATTCTTTTTTTTTTTTTATTTTATCAATTAAAATTTATATGCATTTAAAACTTCAGAAAATTCATTGCCTTTGCCGAGATTTGCTTTTACAGTCGATCAGGATGTGCGTAAAACTTGGCTTCGCTATAAAGCAATTCACAAAATTGCTGATAAAAATTTCCCTTTTCCTTGATTTTTTCAAATTCATTTCAACATTTTAATTTAGCATAACTAGAAAAATCTTCAATGAACGCTAGAAATTAGATATTACATGCATATGTGCATGTAATATGCATGTGCATAGCAAATAAGCGAGTGCAAACACTACTTTTTTCATATATTTAATACCATCTTAAGCAATAATTTTCCAATAAATAATAGTTTAAGTTTAATTTTCCATTTCAGTAAATTTTGTTAAGCTTTTTTAATTTTCAATTTTATTCTCATAAAAGTATTAATTGTTGTAACAATTTTAAAAAGAAAATTTCGCATATAATAATAAAAAATTTTAACGGAAATTTTAGAAAAAAAAAGATAAAATAAAAAACAAAAAAATTAAAAGATAAAAAAAAGAAAATAAAAAGATAAAAATTTAAATTTAGTATCAATTTTTGCTGAATAAATTATGCTATTTCATTGGGTTTAAAATGGAAAAATTTTGGATAATAAAAAAAAAAACTTAAATAAAAAAACGAATTGAATTATTGAAATGGCCTTAATTTGATTTAATCGAGTGTTATTTTTAATTAGAATTGATTGATAGAAACAATAAAGTAACAATAACGAAAAATTATATTTGATAAAAAATGAAGTAATAAATATATTTAAGCAAGAAAATAGCACTAAGAAGTAAATTTAAGCGTTCAGCAGTGTTGAGGTGAGGAATTTCCTTAAAAGGGATAAAATTTATCATTATGGCCATTATCATTCTGATTTTTGAACAGGTTTACTTTTACAGGGAATAAATCCTCAGTGTTGGTACTCCGAGTTGAGCAATAACCCATTAAGCCATTATATTCTTCTTTCTTTTTTTCTGCAACGGTCGATTCTAGTGTCCATCGGCTGGATGCCAATCCAAGCCTGGTTTCATACAATTATCTTGCCACTGAGATGCACGATAAAAGAAAATAAAAACAAAATAATCTAATCTTAAATTTCGTTATTATAAAATATTGGCATATTTTAAGAATATTTATTACAAATATATAAAAAATATTCTCTCCAAGCTTTTTGAATTTTAAGATTTCAATCATTTTTTGACTTGAATCTTAGCGTTAAATTCTATTAAGCCTATTCTAAGCCTATTAATTCTAATTTGCTAAGATATTTTTTATGTTGCAAACGACTCTAAAATGCGATAAAATAAAATACATAAGAAAACAATGGAAAATTTATACGATTTTAAATATTGATGATTTCTACTAGCTGAAATTATTTGCTGCTCTAAATATTGTGATTAATGATTAATTATCATTGTAATTATCATTTTGATTAGATAGTTATTCTTTATGCATTGCCAAATATATCACATGCAAAATTTAATGCAAATGTATCCTTGAGAAAAAAAAAAAAAACAAGTTGCACACTTCATTTTAAGGAGTTCAACTGTTAATCATGTTATTTCTTTAGCTAAAACTGCTGTTGCTTTTTTATCGATATAGATAATAGATAAAATATAGTATTAGATGAATGGAGTTCTTTTTAGCCGCTAACCATTAACGCTATATAAAAATCCGTAGAGCATTTTAAAGCTTAAAATTTTTTGCTAAGATATTTTTATTATTTGCTAAATTTTTTTATTATTTTTTCTTTTTTTTTTATTAATTAAAATAAAAATTTTCTACTTAATATTTTTGAATGCACTCAATCTTTATAAAATAATGATAATTAAATTATTAATCTAATAAAATGAGAATTTGTAATTCGAATTAGGTTTACAAGCAATCCCCATGAGTCGATTCCTATGGGATTCGTTGAGCTGTTTTGAAGATAACTGCATTAAATATATTAATAACATATTTAATTATTTTTATAATCATTTTAAACATGGAACATCTATAGATATATTAAAAAATAGGAAATATTTATAAATATCTTTCACTTTCCATGAAATATTTTTCAATTCAATTTAAAATATTGATGAATTATATATTTAATATTTTGTTTTATTACTGAAAATTTAGGAATATAATAAAAGTCATTTACTTTTGCAAATTTTTATTCCACGAAAAATGATAATCATATGATAATCATTAATAATAATGATAATCTTTTTTTTTTGCAACTCGAATTTACATTTAGGATTATCAAACATGATTCATTTAGATATTCATTTCCTTCGCAAATTATGTCTGATTATCATTATTATTAATTATTATCACTATCATTGTTGCTATCATTATTAATTACTATTACTATTATTATTATTGTGTTATTATTACTATCATTATTACTACTATTATTATTAATTATCATTATGTTAAATTATTATTATTATTACTATCATTATTGCTCTATTATTATTAATTATTATTATTACTATTATTATTATTGTTTTAAGCAGTTCATTTTGTGAAAATTATTATTAGGAGGTAAATCCAAAATTTTGCTGTTGAGAATTTTAAAACTGTAAAGTGTTAATAACGCAATTCACGGATTTTTAAGGCATTATTTAGATTTTGTGGAAAAAAAGTCAGTCAACTATAAAAAATCTGAATATTTACTCAGTTGCTAACATTGTAAACGATAAATTCTTAAAAATTTAAATACTTTCCATGTTCATATGCAGAAATAGCTTAGTGAATTTATTCTTGTTTCCAAGAATCTAAGCCGTAGAAATTTCAGTTGCAATAGAAATAAATCTGTTAATCAAAAATCGCTGTGTTGCTGAAGAGTCATTCGCTTCCTACTTTATAGTCCTCTAATAAAACATTTGGCGGATCAATCAAATCAGTTGATCAAAAATGATTTTAACGCATTTTACTTCATTTTCTTCACGTTGGACTCCTTGGCAAAAATATTGCATATTATTAGTTATTTCGGCTCAGTTAAATCAAATTATAAATTAAAAGATTTGCTTATAATAATTTATCTAATTCGATTACAAATCGAAAAAAAATTTTTTAAATCTATTTTTATATAAAAAATTTTATCAATTCTTCGTTTTATTTATTAATTTTTTTCATAAATTCTTTAAATTTTTTAATAAATAATAAAAATTATTGACAATACACAGAATAAAAAAAAAAATTTTAATATTAAAGGCTTATAAAAATTTTAAATTTTAAAAAGATATATAAAAATTTATAAAAATTTTAAAAGGCAGTTTATGCATTAAATGATATAATAAATATATATATATATATATATATAATAAATTTTCATGCAAAAAACTAATTAATAAACTTTCTTATACAACCAATAAATCGACAATATTAACCATTAACAAAGAATAATTTCTAATTTATAATAAGTACATAGTTGTATGGAAACCAAAAAGGGCCAATAACTTTTCTAAAGTCAAAGCCAAAAAAAAAAATTCTTTTTTTTTAAAAAGAAGAATTTTAAATAATTTTTAATTAAGAGTTTTTTTAAAGAGACATATTAAGACCATACATCAGCCTGGTAACGGCGTTGCCTTTCAAGTTCCTTGAATAATTTATGCGCTTCGCTTTCAGATTTTTGACCAACTTGCATAAATATCTTAATAAATGTTGCTTGCACATCACGAGCCATATTTCGAGCGTCACTAAAAATGCAAATACATCTATACAAAAAGACATATCTTTACTTTAAGTTTTAATCAAATAACAGCAAAGCAGCAAAGAGACCAATGGTCTTTTGCTATTTATAATTGTTTAAAATTTACTGAAATAAAATGTTTAGCAAAAATAATGGGCTAACCCACAAACATATATATGAGCACTATTTTCGACTGAATGCCATACTGCCTCGCGATTTTCCCAAAGTTTATGTTGAACATATACCTATAAGTCCATTTAGATGAAAAAAGCCAAAAATGGCAGAATATTTTAATAGGAAACACCAAACTTTCTTTTCACCAATTCGTGAGAATGCCAAGTGAAGTTCAGATAGAATGCCACTGGTGACGAATTGCTTTAATTCTTCTTCATAAATAAAATCATGATCGGGATATCGGCAACCGAAATAAAGCGATATTGGTCCAATTTCTTTCCCTGAATAACCAAAAAATCTTTAAAAAATAATTTACAAAAAATTACAAAAATAAAATAAGATGTGATCAATTCCAACTTCTTTTCATTCAATGCCGAAATTTAAGAAATTGAAAAACCTTGTTGCTTCTGCCAACTGCGTTCTTGTAAAAATCCACGAAAAGGTGCTAGGCCAGTGCCTGGTCCAATCATAATTACTGGTGTACTTAATTTGTGAGGCAAACGCACTGTGGATTTTCGCACGAAAATCGGAATTTTCTCACTTTCCATCTGCGAAAACAACAATTCAATTTTCGCCGAAATATTGGATTTTTAGAAATAAAATATTTAAATAAGAGAATAACCAAAAATTCAGTAAATTCAATAACAAAAAAATGAAATTAAATGAATTTTATTACTTTATTTAATTCGTCGTATCCATTTTACTTTTAACAAATTCAAAGAATTTATTAAAAAAGGTGGTTTAAATTGGAAAAAATCATTTGAAATAGGCAACTCAAAACTCAAATTCGTAAGATTCATAAGAAAATATGGCAAACCGCTTTTCAACAAACGGTCGAGTTTCGTTATATTATGAGATTCAGTTAAACATTACGTAAACATTACGTAATAAAATGTAATTTTATGTTGCATATGACAAAATATAAAAAATATAAAATATGTTGTTTATGTTAATGATCACGGCAGTTTCCGGTTGACGAAACCTTTATGGAGCCGTCGTGAAATTACCACAAAAACAAAAGTCCGCATCTATAGCCGTGAATCGTTCGATCTTTCTATATGGCTCTGAGACATGGCTAATGAGAGTGAAGGATATTAAGAAACTATCTAATTTTGACCAATCTTGTCTAAGGTACATTTTACGGGTCTGTTGAGCGGATAAAATATTATATGATCGCATCCATCTTCATTTAAATACCACTTGCACAAATAATGTTATGACAGAATATCGCCTTCGGTGGTTGGGGCACATTCTCCGTCGTCCATCATAGGAGTTGGCGCATATTTCGTTATTTGCTAAACTATGTGACGGTTGGCGTTGAAAGCGAGGTGGGCCAATCAAGACCTGGACTGATACAGTCAGGGAAGATTTTGAACGTATAGATGGACAAACAATATATGGACTTAGACGATGGAAAAAGGAATGGCTTCTATTACTGTCGACGATGGCACCAGACCGCGCCGTTTGGAAGCGTCTTACCCTTGTAGCCGTTGGAGCCAGCCTAACCAATAATGGTGAAAGCTGTTAGAAGAAGAAGTTCGATTCATCACGCTTCGTTAATCTTGAGCAAAGGGAGTAAAATGGCGGAATGAATTGCTGTCTAAGCATTAATGCTGGAGTTTTGGAATAAACCTATGCTTCAAAAATCCCAGTTGGCGATTCACCTGTACTTCTATCGCTCGCTAAATGATTCGACTAGAAAGGTAGAAGGGTGAACCTAACCATCGCTGGTGAGTGTCTTAGAAATAAAAAATTGATAGTAAAAATAAAATTAAATAAAATTAAAAATAAAATTTTAAAAAATGACAAAAATAAGTATTAATGAAATCTCGAGTTATTTTCTTACTTTGGTTAAAAGATAGTTTGTGCAAACTCCTTTGATAAGACGATCACCTATCATATACTTGGTTAGAACGGCTGTTATAGAAATTCTGTTTGCAGCAAATTTTGGCGATGAAGAGATACTGTAGAATCGTGCCTACATAAATTCAAATATATATATATATGGACTTAGACGATGGAAAAAGAAATGGCTTCTATTACTATTGATAATGGCATCAGATTGCGCCACTTGGAAACGTCTTATCCTTGTAGCGATTGAAATCAGGCTAATCAGTAATGGTGAAAGCTGTTAGAAGCAGAAGAAAGAAGACATAAGTAATTATTGAATGAATTTATACATAAAAGCTAGGCTCTAAATAGCCTTCTCAGTCAAAAAGTCAAAAAAAAAAAAGAAATCCCGAAATCTTTTCTAATGAAATACTGAGGACTCACCAACTAATCCCAATTAACCTTCTGCCGAAAAGTTAGAAATAGTTGCGATTATTAGAAGGAGAACTATAACAAACATATAGCTAAAATTCGATCATAAGAGATCATACTTGTAATCGAGGAAGTAATTCGAGTAGATGATCAACTGGCGGTTTGCACTTATTAAAATATCGTAAAACATCAATAATTGAGCGTCGTTCCTTTTGTATAAAATTACTATATGCTTTCTGTAATTAAAAATTATCTAAGAAAATTTCAGGAAAAAACTTACTTGCAATGAATTGAATTGTATTGGAAGATATCAAGCCGAATCTATGCATGATTAAAATCTAATAGCAATCCAAAACAAATAATGAATATTAGTCTTATTATATGACGCAGTTTTGAGTTTCCAAATATCAAGAAAGAACTATTACTACAGCTAATCAACTATAAACAAATTCTATGGTTCAAAAAAAATTCCCTATTTTATCATATTCTTTTCCAGTCAATCTCAAGTGTTTGCCATGAATGAATAATATAACACTATCATAAAATTATGGAATTTGAACGAGTATTTAATGAAGGAAATAAGAAGAATCTGGAATAGTTGTTGAATATTATGTGTGGTACTATGAGCTTACTTCATGGATTAAAGAATAGATCAAGGGAAATATATTGGAGTTAAAGAAGTTAAAAATTATAGATATTCACATAGCAAATAGATTACCAGTCCTTCTTCATTCGGAGTACTCATCAAAACGAGTTTTTGCTTTTGCTCTTCATCCGTCGTATATTCAGAAATTGCTTTAAGAACATGCGATTTCACAGGAGCACATATGTCCACATAATGAGTAAAGGCTGTTCGAATTGTACAAGGACAAGGAAATGGATTACGTTTTGAACTTTCTTCTGGAAAAAAAATTTCGATAATTATTTAATGCATTAAATGCAATTAATCATTTATACAAGAGAATCAATACTGTAATCAAAAAAAGGGAATTTAAAAATTAAATCAAATCTCATAAAAACTTAGAAGTTTAGTTGAGATCAAATATAAGAAAAGTACCATCAAGATTAATAAGAAGTAAAGCTTCATTCATATTCGCATTCAGCAAATTGCACAATTCTTCGACGAGTAATTTATTATTTTCTGGAAAAACACCGAGATGATCACCAGCTTCATACCTATAAATGAATTTTTTCATTTATTCGAAATCTTTCTTTTTTTTTATTCGCTTTTCTTATTTAGCACAATAAAAATTAGTTCTTCTAATTTTTCTTATCAATATCAATATATTATCTTATCAATATCAAACAAACTAATTGCTATTTCGAAATAAAAAATTAATAATCTCAAAAATAAAAATAAAAATTTGTAAAATTTATAAAATTTACAATTTGTAAAATTTGTAAAATTTGCAAAATAATGAATTTTAATTATTAATAATTTACCGAATTCTAGCAGCACTTGTATCGAATTCTATGTGGCGACAACTTCGTTCGCTCTTTTCTTTATGCAATTCTCGATTCACAGCGATTGTTGCCAAAAATGGATTTTTAGAATCAAATGGCCTGTAAGATAATAAAAGATCTTTTGAAGAAATATTAGGATATATAGGCGAGTAAATGAAATACATATAGTAAAGGGACTCTATTACCAAGAAGACTTTATCGCCAAAGGATTCCTTGGTATATTTCTCTAGTTAAACAAGCCAACGGATTGAATCCAACCAGTAATAGTGAATGCTTTTCAAAAAAAAAAACCACTTAGCCTTTTTTTTTAAGAATCCTCACTATTATTAGTTAAACTCACTCCCCTGGCTTGTCGAAATTGAGCAATGTGCCAGGGTGATAGAAATACAGGTGAGTCGCCAGCATCTACTCGGATTTTTGTAAGGTTTACTCCTGCGGGGAATCAAACCTCAGCTTCGGCAATTGAGCAACAACGCAATGAACCATTCTATCCCCATTGAATCTTATTCAAGAGAATTATCTAATTAGTTGCCATCTAATTAAAAAACATGGATAATTTCAAAAAAATCACTAAGATACTTGATTTTTATTAAAATATTCAAAATGTTGAATCCCCATTATAAACAAATATGTCTAATTATAATCATACGGTCGTTGTTTTGTAAATGCGCCGATAAATCCATATTCACCAGTGAAAAGTACAGTCGAAGGTTCAGTAACAAATTCACAACGATACTGCCTCTCAGATCCAATTTCATTTGAAAGTTCCCAGCCAAATGATTGAATTACGGCCGGCCAGAATCCTTCTCGCCATCTAAATTTCGAAAAATTTATATGTAATTTCGAGATTGGATTATAAAAAAATTAAAAAATTTTGTTGTTTTTTTACGATCTTATCCTTAATCATATCACTTAAACATAATTAGAAAAATGATTATAAACCTCATAAAATCTTCTTCCAAATTGCCATCATCATCACCAAGTCCCAATTCGTAAATTCTTGTTGCACCAAACTCTTCCAATTTTCGATCGAAAAATTTTCCCATTTCATTATAATGTTCATATGTTTTATTGCCTAATCCAAAAATCTAAAATATTCTTCTTAATTGTTTCCAAAATAAACTAAATTTCATAGAAACTAATTGAAAAATTGTTTTCGTATTATAAAATACACCATTTTTGTTTGGTTGACTTTAACGAACAACAAGGTGAGAAGCTTGGAAGCGTCTTACTCATGTAGCCGTTGGAGCCAGCCTAATCAGTAATGGTGAGAGCTATTAGAAAAAGAAGAAGAAGAAGAAGCTGAGAAGTGGAAAGTGTATTAAAAGGTGCACAAAAAATCCTCAGCAAGCATATTTTAACAAGTATATTTAACTTTGTAAAAAGGTAAAAATCTAATAAAACCTATGTTTAAACTATATTTAAAGATTGTACTCATCAGTTAAAGTAATAACTGAAATAAAAACGTCTCGAGATTTAAAAAAAAATATCTATAATAATGTCGTATAGGAGTAGAATCTTCTCAGCGGGCTGTTTGATTGCTACAGCTTTCATCAGACTCGATTCTTTTACTTTAGTTGAAAATACTCGCCAAAATTGCTATTCGATTATAATAGTAAATAGTAATAGTATTTAATAGTAAATCTATTTCGTATCTTTCAAAAATTTATGCAATGATTAATGACTTATTCTATCACCAAGTGAATCGCTGATAAAATATTTTTTGATAATAAAGCTAAACCTAACCATAAATAGTGAATGAAAAAAATGGTACCGCATATCGAACACCGCTTAAATCCATTTCATTATTCGAAATATATTCATGCAATTCTTGAGCGTTATCAGTTGGATTACCTTCACCATATGTCGCCATGCATAATATAATGAATGCATTTGGAATTTCTGCTATATGACTAAATTCCTCAACATTCATCTCTTCAGGATCGAGTAATATCGCCTTAATTATCACATAATTATCAAATAAAAAAAAAATTATCAAATAAAAATCTTTCAAAAAAAAAATTTTCTTTTTTCAAGAAAATCTCTTATGATAATGGCGAAAAAAAAAATGAATAATTCATGAAAAATACTTTTTTGCCATATCGCATAATATCTTTCGATAAACGACCAGCTAATTCCTCAGCTGTTCCCGTTTGTGAACCATACAATATTAATGTCTATAAAAATATTTAAAATAATTTCAATATAATAAATATATTTTTTATCTATTTTAAAGGAAAAATGAAGAACAAGCTGAATAAGATAAATCACTGGAGGCAATAAAGAAGTTAACACTCGGCATTTCTAACTTGCCCAGAGGCTATATTACTGGTTGTAAAATTTTGCCAGTTAGAATTTTTTCACTTTTTTCATTTGGCATTCGAAGTGGGTAGCTAAGGATTTTTTAAACGACTGATGAAAGGTTTATTCCTGCCAGGCGAGTGTTCCACCTGGATGAATATTCGTATATAGTTTAAGTTTTTCTGACCTGGAAATGAAGTGAATCTTAAACGACATTCTTTTAAATTAATATTTACTGTACTGCCTAAAGTCTTTCGCGTGGAAATCATTTTCGAACAGAGGTACCATGGCCAAAGGAAAAGACGTAATATACGAATCAGCCATGGTCTTCCCCACCCCTTCTCCCCTTCTCCCCCCCTCCCCACCCACAACACCCCATTCCCCACCTATCTCCTCTTAAACCACTTTAAATTAAGTATATCTTCGTATATCAATCGGTATGAATTTAATAAACATGAAAATAAGCGATAAATTTAATATAAAAAACTTAATATTTAATATTAATATAATATTTTTAAATAATATTTTTTAATTAAAATAATATTTTTAATTAAAAAAAATGATTTCTTAAAATATTTGGAATAAAAAAATGTCGCTTCAATAGCGAAACCTGTTTCAACGTTGTGAATTAGAAACTTCTTTATGTTTTATAGTTTTACTCTTTGCAGAATTAAATCTCTATGGCTGCTAGCGACTTGTATACTTCTACTAATCGCCTAAGGCGACAAGTCAGCCGAATCATGCTAACTAGAAATAATACGAAAAATATATATATTTTTTTATTATCAAATAAATAAAAAGAGAAAAATTTTACTTGTCTTTGTTCAGATTTCATACGATTTATAAGCGAATAGTGATAATCATTTTTTATTGTTGATAATGTTGTTATCGTTGATGATGTTGCATTACTATTGTATAATGTAAAACTCATTGCACTACTATTCATCGATTTATATTGATCATCATTTCGATGAAATATTAAAAAATATATAGCAATAATAAATAATATAATTAAAATTAAAATATCCTGATTATCCATCGAATGCCAAAACCACGAAATTATTTCACACATTTTCTATAAGAGAGAATTTAGCGTAATTTATATGATATTCATCCTCTATAATGATAATGATACAATATTCCTTTTATCGTTTCTTATCAGTATTATCTATTCTTTTCATCTCTTCTTATATCATTTATCATTTTTGATTTGATCGGCTAACTGAAATCGCTCGCAGACATTGAAATATTGAAATCAACGAAATCAACTGAACACAAATCGAATCAATATTATCTCAATTCACATTATTGAATTATCACCTAATTTTGGAAAAGAGGTGATAAGGTGAGAGATATTAAACAATAACGAATAACTAAATGATAGGCAAAAAACAAATCAACGCTATGAAATGTGGCAAATTCCTTGTTATAGTCTATTTATTTTCACTTTTATAGTCTACGAGAATGATTTCTATAAAGAAAAAAAAAAAGGCGAAGAAAAAAATTTATTCATTAGAAAACTGGAACGACTGTACACGAATTCTTCTATCAATACAAATAAAATAATTAATATTTTTTGAAAATTACTAATAATCATAATTTATAATAAAATTAAACCTAAAGTGCCTTTTATTTGATTTATAAATTTGAGAGCGCAACAGACAGCATCAAAGATTCGATTCTTTGATACGAGGAAAATTATCATTATCATTATCACTAAATAAAATTTGAACTGTTCTGAGGAATTCATAATGGATTCTCTGATGAAAAACTCTTTGCATTAGCAATCAGTGTGGAATAGCTAAACGAGAAATGATAAATGTTAGCAAAGAGAATGGTAAAATGAAAATTATTTATAAATCGCTATTAATAAAATTATTAATAAATATTTATTAAAAAATTATAAATATTAAGAAAAATATTTAATATCATAAATAAGAAAAAAAAAAGCCCACTGCAGACAAATCGAAACGAAAATGATAGCGGAACAAATTAAAAATTTAATAGAATTTCGGCGTCAAATTAGGCGAAAAAAAAAAAAAATGCGCTTGACAGACTAATTATTTTTTACTAGTGGAAACTCAATGATAAGTTAAAATTATCCAACAGAAATGATAAGTAGTAAAACATTGGAAATTATTAAATCAGATAAGAAATTAATAGGTTATCTTATCTTATCAGTGGTATCTTCAGTTCATAAAGAATTAACCGCAATACCTACTTTAAACTAATCTTCTATAAAGGTGAAAATATGAACAAAACTTTAAACGGAGCCCACACCAATACGGATAGTTTATCATTAAAAACAACTCATTTCACAATGACCTATGGAGAGAGTGAGAGGTGAGGTGGGGAAGGGGGGGGGGGGGGAGGGAGAGGGGGGTTATAGAATAGCTCAGTGGTTGTTGGAGGATTCTATTCCTCGCAGCAGCAAAACTCGCTTCCCGGACGATGCTGGCGTTTCATCTGTATCAAGTCTCCCGACAAAATCTCTCTTCTCCATGTCACCACAGCGAGCCAAACCAGAAATGGTGTTCTTTGAAAAAAAAACCACATTTCGCAAACTCGAGACCTCATTAAAAGAAAACCCGATTGCTTGCCCGATTGTTCACTCCTCGAACTCATCTCAAATTCCCCCTCATCACCACCACCACACTATTTGCTTATTTGCCTATTCGCAAGGTGGACACGTAAACTTTCAACGAAATCTTTAAAATCTAATAATTTTATTTAAAATTTTAAACAATCGCAAAGAATTTCCATTTCGGTCAGAATAAGAATGAGTGAGTGATCGATTCCATTCTCATAATTCCTTATCAGCATGCTTGATTTGTATAAATCGAAGACTGACATAATTCACTACAAACGACCGAAACATGAACGCAATAATCAATCTTTCGAGGATGCATTCCATTTCCTAAGGCCAATTAAATCTCTCAAATCTATTTCAGAATAAATATGTCATAAATATAAATAAATATAGATTAAACGATTCTACATTCTTAGCCAATAAAATTATTTCTAATGTAAAAAAAAAAAAAAAATGAAAAAAATTGAATCTAATCACGTAAAACTAGAATAATTTCCTCCTTCCTTAATTTTGGATAGTCACCAATGAAAAAAAAAAACGAAAAAAACGTTTGGAATATTTTTATTTTATTTAAATAATATAATATCAAACAATTCTAAATAAATTTTAACAAAATAAATGAAAATTGATGAAATGAATTAAAAATTGTTAGGCACCAAGCCGTCCCTCTTAGCTAAGCGAAGAATACAATCATCTGATTCACCCATACGACGTATTTCACCGCAGATTGCATACCTAAAACGAATATGTTCTAAAATTCAAAAAACCAAAAAAATGACAAATGCAAAAAATTAATTGCTTTACAATAAAGAATAACATGGTTTTCGATGCGAAAACTGATAAGAATTGGTAAACAAAAAGCACCTGGTAACTTTATTTGGAATCATACGCCCAGTTGTCGGATCGACGTCGGCAAAATCAATTTGAACAGCAGCGTGATCGGTAGCAGCAATAATCCTTGATGAAGCTGAACATTTCCGAGGAATATATAATTCAACAATCTTTCCAAGATCGTTTTCCATTCTAATACACACAGAATGTACTGGAAAAAGGACCACTTTCTAATAAAAGCTCACTCGTTTCAGCCATGTTATATTGGTGTTCCGACCATGCCGAAATGGAAGAGGCTAACATGTAGGAATCATGCACTTCCGCTGTCTTTTTGGTTTTGGTTAGGAAAACAACACTCAAAATCTTCTCTCAATATTTCATTTTTAATATAGCCAAATCAATATGACAAAAGCTAGCTCATGGGAACTGATCCACTCGCACCTCCACCTTCTTTTTTTCCTGGACAGAGATTAAAATGGTCGGAAAAGATTTTCGTGGGATATCAATTTTTACCGACTATCTTTTAAAATGAACTATAAAAATTAAAGAATAAATGCATCACAATGATGACAGCAATTAATAACTCAGTGAACATTATATATGAATTTTGCAACTATATAATGCCTATGAGAAGGAAATATTATCAGCCACCAACTACCCGCTGCTGAAAAACTTGAAAATGGAACAATTCAAGCCCAATTTGCTTGGAAAAACGTGAAACCATAACCATTCACCACGTCCCAACTCTCCTTAAATGTTTTCTTTACATCCCCAAACTCCATAAACGCAGAAATTATTGTGGTCACTTCGTGAAACTCCTTTATCACCCAAAAGCTCAATCTTAGTTGTATTCGCACACCCACTATCACCCATTGCCCCATCAATAACACTGGTTTAAGTTCATTACACCTCAATCTCATACACACCTACCATTCTGATCCTTTCACCTACTACAGAATCTACCAAAATTCCCCGCAAATCAAAAATGAGCTACGCGAAACCTCCCCGCACCCCCCCCCCCCATCCCACAATATCACCAAAATCAAACATTTCTCCTTTCCCATTTATCAGATACAGAAACAAATACGTGAAATGAGCAAACTTATTATTTTTAAGACCAATCTATTTAAATTGTTAGGTAAATAACAGCGCAATATTTATTTAAATTATTTCCATCTGATCGAATATTTCTTACTCCGTTCCAGTGAATATCCAGCTTAGGATAGCATCATTAGATCGAGTTGTTTCTCTTATTGTAATCAGCGAAGCCATGATGAACCGCGAGCTCTTCGAACATACACCAAGAAATAATCATTGGGTATTCTATTCTTGGCAGGAATAGAAAAATTGGAAAGCCATCTTTACTGCTATTCCAGAGTTTTCCAGTAGAATTGATGAAGTGATTCGAGCCGAGAATTGAAAATATTGCATTGAATGCAGCAGTTTTTTAAAATATAAAAGAAAAAACTTAGAGGCCTATAATAGGCCTATTTATTTTTATTTTTGATTTTCAAAATTATTTTTATTTTTATTGAAATATCACCACTGATAAATATTTATCAGAGAGGATGATTCCGAATAGAACACGCTGATGGCTTAATGATTTATGAGCTTAAATGGTGGAAAAAGGAATGGTTTCGGCAAGGAATGTACAGCATCAGAATATGGAATTGTAAAATTGGATTTTACCCTAATCACCAATTTAGACGAACTCGATGAGTTGTTAAAAGGAAAATTTATAAATAATAAATAATTGACTAATTGCAACAAAGAGCCATTTGAGATGAAACCTATATTTAGATTAACACAAATTTATTTAAACCGTTTACGTAGAGGTGACATTCCTATAATCCATTTTTTTCAGTGTTTAATTTAATTTTTAATATTTTTAATTTAGTTTTTAATTTTAATTTTTAATATTTTTTTTTTAAATTTTTAATATTTTTAATATTTTTTTTAATATATATTTTTTAATATTTTTAATATTTAATATTTTTATTTTAATTTTTAATATTTTTGATATTTAATATTAATATTTTTAATATTTTTTTTAATATTTAATTTTTAATATTTTAATATTTTTAATATTTTTAATATATTTTTAATATTTAATAATTTATATTTTTTTTAATATTTTTTAATATTTTTTTAATATTAATATTAAAAATATTAATATTATTTTTTTTAATATTATTTTTTCTAATCAGAATTAATATTAATGTAAAGATTTGTTTTTATTTGATTTTTTTATTTATAAAAAAATTATCAATATATATATATATATAAACAGAATACTAAAAGGTATATAACTAGCTGGCATCATCTACAGGAATATCTCCTTGCTCGATATATGGTTTAAACGAAGACGAAATGGGACATTCGGCAGAAAATTGTAGAGAATAATAAAGCGAAGATCTTATAGGACTTCTCTATGCAGATAGACAAACAAATATACTGGCCAGTCAGATATCGTGGTAGAAGACAAGAATCAGAAATCAGCACTGGATCTAGCGATATAGCGATACCAAGCGAAAGGAATATCAGAACGAAGGAATATGAGAAATTAGAGAAATATCAAGAGCTAAAAGAGGAATTAGAGAGGAATTATGGAAAGCGAAATCCAAAGTAATCCCAGTGATAATCGATGCACTTGGAACTATAACCTCTAAACTTCAGTAGATTCAGTAGAAAAGTGGCTTCAGTAGATTCCATGAACAACATCAGTGATCTTCATCAAGCACACTGTTAGGAATAGCTAAAATACTACGCAGAACTCTCAGGTCTCCCAGGTCTCTGGTTTTTGAGAATTCGAGATTGACCCATATTATCCACAGAGAGTAAGAAAGGGATTTTCATATTGCTATATGGGCGCCAAATCTATAGCGCATGAGGGCAGGAAAAAATATCTTGCATTAATCGAAATTCCTAGAAAATATTGAAAATATTTTTTCTTATTATAAATAAATTTTCATTCAAAATATTTATTCGTCCGAAATAGATAATAATGTTTTTCGTTTTTTGATAACCGCTGTAATCGGAAAATTAAAAAACAATGAAACACGCGACATATCCGATTTAATTAAACACGAAACCTGTTTTTTAACATGGAAATACAGCATGTTGAGCGAAATTTTCCGGCAAAATAATATCCTAATCTATTCTTATTGACTTCATAATTCCAGTTAGTTTTCATTAAAAGAGGTCTTTAAAAAATTTCTATGAAAATTGGCGATTATAAAAATATATAAATATTTTATTTTAAATCAAGAAAAAAAAAAAGCAAATTAAATGAGAATCATGAAATTAAATAAATTTTCGCATAGAATTTTCAAAAAATTAAGAGCAAAAATAGGAAACAAATAATTTGCTATCGAACGTTGGTGAAATTTCCCAATTTTTTAGTATTACTTTTTTTTTTTTTAAACTTAAATTTTTTTTAAATTATATTCATTGAAATAGAAAAATTACAGCTAATTATAATGGTTTTGCAATTTTATTTATTTCTAAACAAAATAATATCTCAGAAAAAAAAAAAGCGAAAAATTCCTGTTTATCATTAGAATTTTCTTTAAATAGAAAGGAAGAAAAAATGAAAAAATTTACTGAATGCCGATTTTCATTGAAATAAAGAAGCCTACGACGATTCAGAATAATAATAAAAATGAAGGGAATCCATAAAGCAGAAAATATAAAACAAACGAATAAACAAGCCAAATGAAAGCATATCGTAGATTCAAATGAGTAGAAAAAATTTCCAATTTCCGATTATCAATAAATAAATTTCGAAAAAAAAATTAGGAAATTATTTTTTTCAATAACTATAGAAAATCTTAAAAGCCTAAAATGCCTTAAATTTTCATACCTTAAAAGCAAACAAATTCATAGCTTTAAAGGATAAATTAATAATAAAAAAATTAATTCGCAAATTTTAAACTTCCTTCATCGATTTAAAAAAATTTTTTTTTTTTGAATTCAGGAAGATTTCATAGTTGAAATTCCGTGAAGTTCGATCGTTACAAGTGAAAAAAAAAATTTTTTTTGCTTATATATCAACAATTTTGAACAATTCACGCTTATATAGCAACAATTTTAGGTGAAAAATATTGAAAATTTGTAAAAAAAAAAAATTTAAAATTTAAAAGAACAATAAAACAAAAAACAATTTGAACAATCTTTGGCATTTTTTGCGTATATTTTAATAATTTTAATTCTTTAAAAATAATATTTTTCGGTAAATTTATTTATACAAAATACAAATTTATTCGTTATTTGTACAAAAATTTTTTATATAAAAATTTCTTTGCTTTTATAAGATAAATGAACAAAAAAAAAAAGAGAAATTGAGCACACAAATGTATTATATTTAGAAAAGAAATTTGAAATCAAAAATAAGTGATAATAACAATAAGAATTCCTGATAAAATCATTTGTACGCACACTACTAAATGGCTAGTTTCCACGAATAGTGATAATTAAAATGAACGGATATTATAAGTTGAGGCAATTTAACAATTATCTGTAATTGAATTGCGAATCCAGCGAAATATACGAGTAAAAGAGCATTAATAATGGTCTTAGCCAAGCATGAAACTATTTAAAACAATAGATAAAAATGTGATAATGTGAGAAAATCAATTGTTAACGAAATTTTTTTTAGCTAAATTTTTTTTCACACGAAAAACAAAAGCATAAAATTAAAATCGTATTAATTCAATGAGAATTTCTTTTAATTTTTTCTTCTTTTTATTCATTAAAAATTACAACAAAAATTAGATAATTTTATTAACGAATCTTATGAAAATTTGGAAAATATAATTTATATGAGCAAAATTTATTTCTATTTTAAAAAAATTCATTAAAACCTATAGAAAACGATATGCATTTGGAAGTACTGTTGAAAATGTACGATGATGGCGATTTAATTGTTCATGTCGAGCCAATTCCTCTAACGCACGAATATCAAGACGTACTGAGCCAGCGTAAGTCAAAAAATCTCTCACATCAAGATCGGGCGCTAAAGATCTTCGTCTCCAACCTAAACGACAATTCTTACTTTATATGAAGCGTATTTGTAGGAAATATGAATCAGTTAAGTATTTTAGATTTTTAGCCTATGCAATAATATTTGCCTAATAAAATGCTTGAAATTTAAAAATTTAAATTTTAAATTTTTAAATTTTTTTTTTTTAATTTTCTCTCCATCTGTCTCTAATAAGGATTCGCTAACTTATCGTACTAAACAAATAATAATATTCTCCGGAAATCATTTAGCTTCTTTTCTATTCAATTGAAAATATTTATAAAGAAAGAAAAAAGAATGAATTCATTTATCGGAAATTCATTCCTACAAAGACAATATTAATCGTTTTCTTTGATTTGCTTAAAAAATATTAAAAATTAAATATTTTTTTTTAGATAAATAAATAAATTATTTTAAATGAAAAAAAATTTATACAAATAACGAATTCAAATTAAATATTTTTTTTTAGATAAATAAATAAATTATTTTAAATGAAAAAAAATTTATACAAATAACGAATTCATTAAGAAGCATCGGTGGATTTGAAATATCTTCTAAGGGTAAAGGATTTGCGCGAAAATATTCGAGTAAATCGATCATCGTATCGAATATCATTTGATGAATCCTACATTCACCATTCGTTTTCACCAAAATACGAACGTGCTAAACGAAAAAATTGTAACCAAATTTTATTTAAATTTTTAAACCGAATGATTTTTCATATAAATTTTTATTAAAATATTGTCGAATTTGTTATTAAACAAATGATAAGTTCAGTGAAGCGAATTTTTTGTGATTCATATAGTTTGAAAATTTAAATTTTTAAGAAAATTTTTAAAGATTTTTTAAGTGAAACTAGAAAAAATTAATTAAAAAATTTGTTTAGGCATCGAAAAGCCAAAAAAAAAGAATGATAATACATCCACGCTTAATCTTATCACTAATAATCTTCTAAAAGAATTGATGCACAATGATTTTAACTTTTCATAGTTTTAGGTTCACTACTATAATTCTTCTACTATAATCACTGATCATCGTTAATACATTTAAATAATAGATTTTTTGTCTAATATAATTTTTTGTCTAATATAATTTATAATTAAAACGTTATAATTAATAAAACTTATTAAATTACAATTTGAATATAAAGAATAAAATTAAAAATAAATTTTATATAAACAAATAAATTAATAAGTAATAATGTATATATATTTTACTTATTATATATTTATTCTATATATTATTTATTATATATATTATTTATTATATATATTATTTATTATATATATTATTTATTATATATATTATTTATTATATATATTATTTATTATATATATTATTTATTATATATATTATTTATTATATATATTAATAAATAAATAATATATATAATAAATACATAATATATTTTATAAATAAATAAATTTTTGGGCGACTCCAAATCGATTTCCATGGAACTATTTGCGAGAATCATAATTTAAGAACTTCTACAATATAATTCAATTATCACTTATTATGATTATTAAGAAAAATTCCGAAATTTCCGGAAATTTATAACTGAAATTATTGACCAACGCTACGTATTTGTATTACTGACCAACGCTACGATTATGTATTTTAAAAGTTTTTGTTCAAATTTTTATTTTTGCCAACTTTTGCGCATTTTGCGTGAATTTTTCTTTAATTTTATAGTTATTAGCTTTACAATTAAAATTCATTTCAAATTTTATATTTATTAAACCGAATGAAATATTAAGAAAAATAAAAAAAAATTTAAAATATATTCAAAATATTGTTCAAAAATATTCGAATATTCAAAAAATCTTTATAGCGAATATACCTTTGCCTTTCCTTGACAATTGAAGGTCAATACAAATTCGCCAGGACGTGTCTCACTTTGTCGTACGAGAAACAATCCGTGACCACCAACTCCATTATGAAGTACCAGCCTAGTGCTCAGATTACGTGACAAGCGGGCATGGAACCATGGATACATTTCTAAGCCGGGTGGCAAAGCATGCATGGAAGGAAGAAAGCGACTATTACAAGGTTGCGAACACATCATAAAATGCACATTATTTAATGACCTGCAATAAATTTAGTCGTTGATTTTCAATCTAGCTGGTTCAAACGAAAAATCTAAGTGCAAAAACTCCACAACTCACCTGGTTGAACAAAAATGGCTAGTAGAAGCAAAATCACTGCCCATAGGTGGTGCGGATGGATGCCTCATAACCTTTCGAGCTAAATCACAGTCCAAGATTGTAATGCAATCTCTGATCGCTGAAATCCATTCTTGGCATTCGCTATGATTTTTTGTCTCAATAACGTATTCATCCTAAATATTATTGGAATATTAATTCTCAGATTTGCTCAAAAACTGTAATATAAATCATGAAAAATCGAATTGGTTCAGATTAGCCATTTCGTTCATGAAATAAATATGCATTTTTTTAAACATTTTAGACAAATTTATTGAGATTTTCTTGAGTTTTATGGGTTTTAAGAATTTCATATACCCATTATGCCCATCTATATTTTTATACCCACAAAAGATTCTGCGACGAAAGACTCTCTCTCTAAGACTCAATCAGTGGAGGTAAGCATATCGGTAAAATACCAGAAGATAAAATCTTATTATCTTGACACTTAAATTTGACGATATCTTAACTACAAGATAGAAACCCAAGCTATCTTGGTCTACCTGGTTATATCCACGGATAGCAAATATTTTCTCGTTTGAATCTTCAAATTCGAGTGGTGTCGCTTCTCGAATTTCCATGATTAGCATGCAAAAAATACCTGATTTTGCTCGATTACTCTGAAATTCATTGCAAATTCGAATTATTTTATAAGAGTTTTATTGAATTTTATCCTAAAATAGTAATTGTTGGTAAATTGAATTAAATTATTTTCATTCAAAATTTGTTATATTAAAATTTATTATTAAAATATATTAATAAGTTTTAAACTTAATCTAAAGGATATAAGATCACTTAATTTTTTGTTATCAATTGTTATCAGTTGATATTGTTAGCAATTTTTTCAATCTCCTAGCAAAAGGCCAACGAAAAACTACTAAATTTTATGCTTAAATAATAAATAGAAATAAAAATATGATGTGATTAGATGATTATATCGATTGAGCAGCTGTTCGATTGATTAACCCATCAAAATTTGCTTAAATTAAATTAACCCTTGGAGGTGAGTAGAATTCAAGTAGATAACCACCAGTTGTTTTCATCAAACATAAGCGACACTTCTTCCACTGTTTTGCTTCTAATTCCGAACCACTTATGTATCTTAAAAAAATTCATTCGTAATTAATTTTATTTTTCTAATTGCGCTCACCGGTGCTGTTGAACTCTGCTAACTTGTCGGAATCAGATGAATCCTGCCAGAGAGTCATTTGGAAATAAAAATATAAATGGAATCATCCCGATTTTTGAAGGATAGGTTTAAGGATAGGTCGAGGAATAGAACCTTGGCGCTCCGAAATGCAAATAATGCAACCCACTGAGCCAATCCACCTTCACTTACTTATTCATTTTAGTTCTATACTAAATAAAAAAATATAAAAACTAAATAATATCTTTCTTGAATCGAATTTATTTTATAAAAAATCTTCAAATTGCAGTTATATAAAATAAAATAATAGTTATTATCAAAAATATATTTTTTGATAATTTTTGATAAAAAATTTAAAATTTAAAAAAATACCAAATAATTTTAGAATGCAAGAAATAACAGTTAAATTTTCTTATTAATAAAATTAAGTAATCTAATATAAGAAAAATTTTGTGAAATAAACTTACCGAACACGACCTTCTTTAATTACTTCTACAGCTGTTTTGACGGGAAATCGAGAACGAAACCATGAAAATCTCTTTGACTTTCGCGAAGCAGCTACAGACTGCTGGCTTGCTTCGAACTGAAAGTAATAAAAAAAAACTATAAAAAATCTTCTAATTTCAAAAATAAAGTATTTTCTAAAAGTATTTTCTATTCCTCATATTTAAAGTATGAGAACTAAATGTTAAAAAAATGTATGAATTTAATAGCTGACCTGTGAAGCAATCTCGCATGGTAAAATTTCGGATCGAGAGCGAGGAAGGCAACCGGTTTCAGCAATGCTTGCCGGTCGTCCATGTCCACTCCATGATCGCCAGCTTTTTTCATTTTCACGATGCCTTATTGGCAAAATAGAACATGAAGATCCCATCCCTAGCTGAATAATAAAAATCCTTTTGTTTAAAGCACAAAATGGAAGAACTATTGAATTGATCTCGTGTAATATCATCTTTTTCTTTAATAATAATTTATTAATTGATATGATAACAGATATTAAATCACATGGAATGATAGGGTTATAAATACTGCAAACACTTAACGTTTAAAGATTAAAGGTACATCGAAATGATTGTTATTTTTGGATATTTAATGTAAAAGCGCGGCCAGTTAATAGAGCTGTTGATATTGCAAAGTACTTTTGAAATTGATATCTATCCTTACCGAAGAAAATAATGAATTGGATTCGGTGACATTTGAAGTTTGGTGCATTAAAATTGATTGTGGAGTATCGTTAAAGGTGAGCACTTGCAGAGATTTTGATATTTCTACAGTGTTTGAAGGCTTCAAATGAACTACTAAATCTGGTACCGAGAGTCGTTGTTTATTGCATTCATTCACACCTAATCGCTCGTTGAGTTCCTCGCTAATTGTTCGAGTAAACTGCTCGACTACATCGTCACGATGAATGTTTAATCGGCCGGAACTTTCGCAATTCGAAATGAATTGTTGCCAACTTTCGGCAAAATTGAAAGCGATGGATTTTGCATATTGTATACAAAATTGACGCCATCTCTCACTTTCGTGGGCTGCTAAAACTTTAAAAAAAAAAAAAATAGGCATTTTTGATATTAACAAAAATGATAGGCCTAAATTATTTTTGAATACTTTCCTAAACCATAATTTTATTCATTCCTCTAAATATGAAGTGAACAGAACTTCAGATGCTATTACGTGAAAATTATTATAGCTAATCGGAGTTCATTGTCGCCGCTATTGTCGTCGAATATTTTTATCCACAACTGATTTTAGCTGGATGAACAGGTTTAGCGCTAATAAGCTCAGTCAAACTAGCGAAATCAGAACTATTATACACTGCTGAAGGAGGAAAATAATTGTGGCCAATAAGAGACCAAATTAAAGGGATAAATTTAATATAACATTTAATATATCAGATAAAATAATCATTTCAAGCGTATCAATGTAATATACGCTTAAAATATAATATAAAATTAATAATTCCCTGATTATTTATTTCATTACTTTCGCTTGCTGCCTTTTTTGCTCAAAATTTGATAAAAATAGGCTATAAAATAAAATATTCTATAAAATAAAAAGATAAACCTTCCATTCAATGTGAGCGGCAAATAATAGAATCAGTGACGAAACTGTAGTACATTAATAGGCTAATAATAATTTTAATATCGCGCAATATTTAATATATCTTAAGCAATACGAATTATCAACAAGGACAACTATCGTTCCTTTAGCTTATCTTTAATTGATGAGTAATGATAACGATGATAATAGGAATAATAATGAAAATATTAATAACAATGATGATGATAATGGTGATGATAATGATGATGATGATGATGTTGATAGTTGAAGAAGAGCAACTGCACGTTTGTATAGCAACTGTTGTTGCATAAAAGCTGCCAACTCACTAATGCTGATCTTATTGCTGATAATGCTATGCTTACTGCAAAAAGAATTCATATTACTAGTTAGGCGAGAAAAAATTTCAATGAGACGTTGGAACTTTTTTAATAAATTTTCTTCGTCATAATATATATTTTATATATTTTTTTATATTAATATATTTATTTTTTTCATATATTTATTTTTAAGAATATTTCTGGTTAGATTCGTTCCGCTGGCTTATTGGATGAGACAGATTTTTGTTAAGAGATATTTGGGCAATTGAAATTTAGATAAGTCGCTATATCAATTGTATTTTTAAAAAATAGGTCTATTTTTGTAGGTCTATAGCAGAATACCTGTATCTGAAATAAAAGCAACAATCCACTAAATCACTCTACTCTTAATGCATAATCTATCATAATATATAGATGGAACCATAAAAATGATTAGTTGCTAGGTTCATTAAAAAAAAAAAGTGATAGTTAGTGATCCACTAAATCTGCAGAACATGTCTGATCTGGGAGAGAAACCAGCAGATGGCATTCATATCACAGCTCAATGATCAATCAATCAGTATTATTGGGCCTAAGGTTAGGCAAATCCATGAAAGATTTAGCTGGAATGAAGTCGGTTTCATCTCTCTATTAAAAAAAAAAAAAGATCTACTAAATTTCGATTTTTCACCAATTATTCATAGCGAAAAATTCATTTATTTTGCACAACCTTAGAGCAATTGCATTATAAAATATTTGATGAATATGATTTTTATATAAAAAGAATGTTAATAAAGAAAGAATGTCAGCAAATATGATAATATGATAATAGAAAAAAATATGATAATAGAAAAAAACAGATATTAAAAAATAAAGTGTATAAACATTATCTATTCCCTTATTACGTCTTGATAAAATATTCGAATACTGATAAAAGGCAAAAGGCAATATTTGAAATTCGAGTGAAAAGGCTGAGAAATCCAACTCGCCTCAGAGCAATTATTAACTCAAATTTAAACCTAACAAAATTATTTTTTTCCTAAGAGCGCTAATCATTTCTGGTTTAAATCGCTATATTGGTTTGCCTTATCAGACAAATTTTACCATGGAGTTACTTGCCAAAAATACGAACAAATCGTTAAGACCATTCGCATTTTTAAAATTGTTTCTCTATGCACACAACATAGAAACACCAACCTGCACCAACGTTCCGAAACAACGACCCACTGGGCCATTCTATCCTTTCAAATAATATTTTTGAAAATAGTTTTAATAATAAAAAAATATCGTAATTATCGAAAAGTGAATTAACATGTGAAATAATCGAATCAGATCAAAAATTTTATTGAATCGTTAATTAAATTATATGAAACGTTAAACTTATTTGACTTATTTCTAAAATAAAAAATCAATTCAAAATCGAGCGATGAACCAGAAAAATTAACGACAAATCAAAGCCACATCTGGTGAAGCGGCTATTAATATGTGGTGAACTATTGTTTATATCGACGCCTACTTCCTTCACTTATCAATATGTTTTATTATATATACAGCATTATAGAATAATTATATATTTTACGAAGGTGGAAATTTAGCATCGATAGAACAGACAACTGTTAGGTTCTGCCGTGTTATAGAGGTGAATGTGATGTATAATAGATAACGAGCTGACAATCTTTAGGAATCCGTTCTGCTGAAGGCAAATTAAAAGAATCTATAATCGAGTTTTAATGCGGAAATTATTAATTCATTGATAGTGATTGTGATGTAATAATTTTATTTCAATTTTGTTGATTTCAAATTCATAAAACAAATTATTTAATACAATTGCAAAAATAAAAATAATAAAAAATAGTAAACATATGAAATATGTTTCAGCAAAAAATTTTTTTCCTCTTTTTTTTTCGTAAATTTTTCATAAAAAAAGAAAAAACCTTAGCTCTAACGAGTAGAATAGTTCAATGAGCTTTTGCTCTCTTTTCACATCGAAATGCTGGTTTTCTATTTCCTCCATGACTGAACCTATTTTTCAAAACCCAGGCAATGCTAGCGTACTGATCTACTCATACTTCTATCGCCAAGTGACTCCTTACTAAGATTCATCTGATCTGACAAAGTTAGCAAAGTAAATCAAACTAGAATTGGCGAGAAATCCTTAAAAAAAAAAAAAAAAAAGAATCTGTAATTTGCGAAATTTAACATTTTACAAGTTTTATCAACAGTTGCTTTTAGAAAGAAAATTAAAATAATATTTATTTAAAGTGGTATTTTCTACATTGATAGTAATTGATAGTAATGATAAAAAGAATGTATTGAGAATTAAGATCTTTGGATAAAAAAATAAAAAGAATGATAAACAATTTATTATCATTCATTATCATTCTGATTTTCAGCAATATGTCCTTAATTCTTCGAAAATTATTTGTTAGAAGCAAGTTTGCAAGTTTGCATCATAAATTCTTGAACTAAAAGCAATCTTTGCCCTCGGCAAGAAATAAACTTCATCAAAAAAAGCCTGGTGGTGCCACTTGTACTTTTATCACCGACTAATTTCCTGGTGAATTTCTAATAACAATTTGAAATAAGTTTAACAAGATATGATATGAGCTAAGCACTAAATTATTTTTACTTACAAGGCAAAGTACTCAATTATTGTGGTTAAAAATAACTTTTATAAATAACTTGTATATTTCTTGAATTGTTTAGATCCTTCTAGGAATGCCTAAAAATAGATTTATCTTATCAAGCCTTATTCTACTCATCTCAAACTTATTCTATGTAAATCATAGAATAAATATTTCACTCATTTTTCCGCCTTCTTAACCTATATAATCGATTTTAACCAAGTTGAGCAGCTTATTTTCTCCGATCGTGCCGATTTTCATTTTGTGTCTTCCTTGCTTTTGGTGTCATCCATCCATCTCGATAGTTAGCAAACATCGAGATGAGCATCAATATTTCCATGAGCGACAACAAAGAACGCATTTTATATCAATGCATATTTCTAATGCATGTAATTTATTTCTAATGCATGAAAATGGATCTACATGAAAGCTCTGTCTGCTTGACGGATGTAACTAATTTATATTCTATGCAAGCCTCGTCAAAGGTCGATTAGTTGCTCTCTCTCTCAAACCATATTTCACAATCGTATTGCAGAATTGCGCATATCAAAAGCAGATTATCAGATTATCAGATTGTATGAAAACTTGCATTATTTATTTATTTATTTCTATAATATTAAAAATTAAATAGAAAACATTTCCGGCAATAAATAATAAATAAATAAAACAATATTATGTTTAACTAACCTTTGACACGATTTTTAATCATTTAAAGATAAAATGCCAGTGAAAAGTTACAATATATATTTATATGTGTTGTTTTCTAAATAAATTTTCTTTTTTTTTTTTCATAAATTTTTTTTTTTTTTGTTAACGAATAATTATAAATGATGGAATAAGAAAAACTGCAATCGAAGGCAATTCATCTTCTTCATTTGAAACGGAAGAAGAAACGGAAGTGAATTTATTTTATGCTCGCTAAACTTATCTTTTCTTATCCTTGTTTTGTGCATTATCAACAATTTTAATTCGAATTAAAATATAATAAAAAAAAGAAAATTATATAAATAAAATTTTTCTTAAATATTCTCTTTTTTTCTAATAAAAATAATAATTATTATTATTATTGAATTAAAAATTTGTGAAATTTTATAAAATTTCTTTATTTATCAATTTTTAATATTCGCTTAATTTAGCCGCTCGTCAAAATAATTTACGAAATGAACTCTTTTGGAATGCATAACGAAACTTTCAAATGAATACGTATTAGCCTAAAACAAATCATTTTTTATTGAAAATTTTATTATTTTTATTGAAAATTTTATTATTTTTATTAAAAATTTGATTATTTTTATTGAAAAATTCTTAATTTAATTAATTTAATTTTAAAACATAAAAAAATGTGTTAAATGTTGCAAACGTTTGCATTCGTGAAAAAAAATAAAAAAATTTTGACGACAATTGATTTAAATTTATTTATTTATAATATTTTTAAGGAAAATCGAAATTTGCGATTAATAGAAGCAAAAAAAAATATATAAAATTGAAAAAAAAGTCGATAATTAAAGAGGAAAAAAGAAGATTTTGTGATGGAAAATGGATTATGTAAAAGCGTCGAAAAGAATAAAAATTTTAAGATAAAAAAGGCGATATTTAAAGGCTAAAAAAATAATAAATAAAGAATTTTATTGATAAAAAGATAAGAAGCAAAGATAAAAATGATAAAAGTGGTATCAATCACAACGACTCATTCGCTTCGATTCTTAACTATGAGAAGAAGAAGAAGAATAATGAAGAAATTCGAATTTATCGTTCGCTGAAGATGAATGAAGAATGCTTTCAGTTGTTATAAAAACGATCAAAATAAAGCCATTCGTTCTGAAAAAAAAAATTAGATTTTTTTAAAAATTTAAGTTTTTTTTTTAAATATAAATTAATTAAAATTTATTAAGATATAATAGATAATTTTTCTTTGAAATATAAGAATTCTTTTCTCAAAAAAAAAAAAAACTTTCAATCATTCGAACTATATTCATTAGATAGAATAGCGAAAATTTTGGAACTCGTTTATCGAACCAGGCCAGGTTCAAATTCAAATTGTACAGAATTCGTACACTATGCGTATACATGTAATTTAACTCGCCGTCCATCTATAAATATTATAAGCAATAAAGTGCGTACTACACAAACCAGAAGTTCCATGCTTCGCAACGTCTCCACTACTTTTGTCCTGTGGAACTTTTTTTGTAGAATATAATTGAATATAATTATAAATAAATAAAATTTCCTAAATAATATTTTCATTAATGCTTTTTTTAAAATTTTATATTATTTTTATATTATAATATATTTATATTATTATTATATTATTATTTTCATATTATTTTTTATATTATTATTATATTATTATTTTTTATATTATTTCTTTTATATTATTACTTTTATTATACTATTATTATTACTTTTTATATTATTATTTTTTAAAATTTTTTAAAATTTTATTATTAATATTATTAATTTTATTATTAATATTATTAATATTATTATTAATAAATAGGAATACAAATAGCAAATTTATGAGTTCTTCAATTTCTTTTTTTTTTCTTTATTAAAAAGCATCAAAAACGGATCTCCGTGATTTTTTTGTTAGAAGCACAGATGAATGAAGAATGCTTGTATTACCCTTCTACACCATATTCTCCTAAAGATATTGGCTGAGCTGATAATTAGTATGACAAATTTTGCCCTGAAAGAAGTATTTTATTGGTTTGAGGATCGCATTTTGTTATAGTGGGTTTTTCTTCTCGATTGGTACCTCTAAAATTGGCTGCCAGGTTTGCGCATATCTTATTCATTCATTTCACGCATAGACTAGCGAGAGGGTCGCGCGAGAGACATTTTTCGAGCGATATTGCTTCGAATAGAAAATTTCCTTTTTATTTTTTTTGAAAAAATTTTAATGAAACTAAAATGAAATTAAAATTGAAAATTATTTTTTATTTTTCTAGAGCACTCACCATTTTTCCTTAGAAGTTTAGCGCGCTTCGTTAATTTATTAGATTGAAAATGAAAATTTATCAGAGGATTTAATCATTTTAATCAGAGAGTTATATTTTTAATCGATGAATCCTATTTTTTTTATCCAAAGAATCCAAAGAGTTACCCATATTTTTTTTTTATCAGTGAATTATCCTAGCGATAAAATTTTAATGCGAGTAATATTCGTTTAATATACTATTATTATCAAATATAAATAAATAAAAAGATATAATCAAAAAAATTTTTGAACGAATTTAAATTAATGAAAATTTTTTACGATTTATTTATTTTTTTTTGAGACAATTCGACGCCTATTATTTTATTTTTTATTAGTCAAAAATTAATTCCATTAGATTTTTTTTCTTTTTTAATTGATTTACTTTGGTGAATTTCGGTGATTTTTGGTGATTTGGTGGTGTATTTTTTTTTCCTAAATTATGAATAAATTCGTGGTGAAGAAAAAGACGATTTAGAAAATGATTGCCTCAAGAAAATTGCTGATTTATCGTTAAATTATCTGAAATGCATGAATGAAAGATAATTCTCAGGTTGCTTCGACTTTCATGGATATGAGATTTGAGTAGAATTGGATAGATGGAAATCTGTGGTAAAAAGTGAAATGTTAGCCGTCAGCCGTCTTATTCAGACCCTCTAATAGTTGGTACTACATGGTTTGACTCTCTCGATTAGAAAGAAAGAGTGTGGAATAAAACTTTTTCAGGCCTCTCCTGTCTGATGCGATTCCTGAAAATAAATGAAGTCGCTTTTTTTCATCCACTCTAAATATATTATTTGGCCGCATATCGGTTCATAATCTCCTCTGATCTTATCTGTTCAGTTCTCGATTAGCTGGCCTTGCTTTTAAAACCATCTGTCTCTGGGTTCAGCAAGTAGCGAGTAGTGTGTTAGTCTCTGTGGTGAACAACGAAGCACATTGTCTGTCTATATAGTCTATATTTTGCGACGATATTCATAATAAACGTGATATTTGAGCGAAGGTGGATGCAGTCATATGAGGTTCTGTGGTTTTTCAGGTATGAGAATAAAAAATGAGAGCAATCTGACGCTCTCACTTTCGTCAATCAAATTTCGCAGCCATATATAAGATTGTGTTTTCTACGGTCAAATAGATGCTTTTTGATAACTTTTCGTTTTGAAGCTGATTTTGCGACGATTTCAAAAAGGCTTCGTCAGTTGAAAGAAAGCTAGCTACTGCTGTCCAAGCGGGGCTTTCATTTTTCACTTTTTATTCTTCATTTTTTTTTATGAAAAAATAATCTTTATCAATAGAATATTATTGTTAAACTTTATTTGCTTTATTCTCGGAAGACTACGTCCATTTTATTTTTTAATTTTTTTTACAAAAAACTTACCGGAAACTTACACAATTCATTAATCATTTTTCAATTGTTTTATTAATTAATTCAGATTGAAAATCTATGATTTAATGACAAAAAAAAAACGATGGATACAAAACAATTCGATGATGATAATGGAAACGGAAATACGCAATTAACACAAAAAGATAGTCAATTTAGTCAAATACTCGAGGTATTTGAAAAATCTTTGAGAATTTAATTTAAAAATTTGAAAAATTTTCAAATTTTTAGTTTCGTAACGTTCAATGTGAGCAAATTGAAAAGAAACGTTATGCAACCTTACTCGCAATGGATAAAGGAATGAATTCTATTGGTAATTATTTTATTTTTACTTAATTTTTAAAAATACTTTGGAACTTCTTTTAACACCACGCTGGTATCATTTCTCTGCTTTTTTCGTCTCTATGGCTGCTTTCATGAAATTTTCATCAGAAAATTATAAATTGTGCAGTTGTTGTGTCGACAATGACCATTTCACTTTTAATTGTAACGATACTTCTAACAGAGAGCAGAAATCGAACCATTACTGCATCTATTCAATGAGAATAAAATATGACTGCATTCGTCATGCTCTCGCATTTGACTTATAGCCATTTCGTTATGGTTTTTTTTTTTTAGCATTATATACAGAATATTTTGGTTTTGGTCGAAAATCTGCTTATGAATATTATTGTGATTTTCACGAGCTGTCAGGCAGTAAAGAGCTTTGGTTAGCAATCAGCTCCCAGCATTGTTATATTCAACGAGTTAGTTTTCTTTCGATTTGGAAATAGTATTTCTTGAAATTTCTAAAATTAAAACTTTGAAATTTTTAGAAAATGCGAATTTTCCAAAGGAAATAAATCAATTTGGTTATTTTGGTCGTTCTTTTTACAATTGTTTTACTGTTTAATCTAAGCAGATTTTTAATATACTAAATGAAATGTGTTTGATATAATAGTTCTCTAGGATTTTGCCGAAAAGAAAACATATTTATATGATACAAGCAAATTTGGCACTTATATTAATACAGTTAAAATCGGCAGTGGTAATCAGCGTCAGTTGATTAGTGGTGATTTGATAAGTATTGTCGATCCGAAATTTTTTGGTGAAAATTTTTATTGCTTCTTTTTTTTTAAATTTTGACACCTTTTTTGTCCTCGAAATAAATATCTTTGTCTCATTACTTTTTCTAAAAAATTTTTGAATTTCGAATACGAGCAATGGAAAGATGGAATGATAAATGAATATTCTTATCATTTTCCACTTGGTACCAAACTTTTTTCTACTGTCTTTTTATTAAATTAAGCAACTAGTAATTTTATCATTTAATATAATTTTTCAGTTTTTATGTACCTTGAAGGTAGTCAAGAGTTCGGTGATTATCCAAGTGAATTAACTGAGCGTTATTTTGTTTCAAACCATCTTATTGGTGAAGGAGCAATGGGAAAGGTGCTTGATTACCTTGTTTTTTCCTTTGTCTTTGTGATTCCACGAAATTAATGATACTGCTGCTCATCCATCCGTTTCATTTATATTTTAAGCTAAATTTTTCACTAAGGTTTATGGTCGGGCTTTTACAATTGCAGGTATTCATAGGAAAATGCCGAAAACGAGCGTCTTTAGCTGTGGCCATTAAAATGATACCGAAAAAACGCATTTCGTTTGTAGCAGATCGCAGTGAATCTGGTCTTGGTCCGTCGACTGAGCTAATTAAACGTGAAGTTGAGATAATGCTTAGCGTTTCTCACGTATTCTATTTTATAATTTTCATTTTTTGATCGTTTTTCGTTTTAATATTCGATGTTCGACCCTGTCCAATAATTAATATCCTTAAAATAAATATAAATATTTTTGGATAACATATCGTACTTTTTCAGCCAAATTGTATACAATTAGAATATGTATGTGAATCTCCTAAAATGGCCTACATAGTAATGGAGTATGTTGAAGGTGGGGAATTATTTAGCAGAATAACAAATGAATGTAATAATGGTCGAGGATTAGGCGAGACAATCAGTAAATTTTATGCTTGGCAAATGCTTCAGGCTGTGCAAGTAAATCTTTTTCCTTTATCGCTTAAGATTTGATTCTACTTAAGATATTTCTCATCCGAGGGAAAAAAAGGTGAATTTTTTAGAATATTTGAATATTTGAATTTTATAAAATGTTCAATCTTTAGTATCTGCATGCCCACAACATTGTCCATCGAGACATCAAGCCTGAAAACATTCTTTTGCTTAAGAAAAATATATTCACTGTCGTTAAGGTTAGAAGGTTTTTATCACCAGTTTTTTTATAATTAGAAATATTGGTATAGATTATAATATGGAAAGCTATCAATATGATTTACAGTTGTCCGATTTTGGTCTAAGTAAAGCTGGCGATAATTCCATGGAAACTTTTTGTGGAACCCAGAGTTATATGGCGCCAGAACTATGGTCAGATGCTCGACATTATTGTTCCAAAGTCGATATATGGGCATTAGGTGCGATACTATTTACATGTTTATGTGGATATCCACCATTTAGTACTGATTATACAGATTTTTCCTTGAAGGAACAAATAATGAAAGGTATAATAATGAAAGTATTTATTTATTTATTTGATTATTTTATAACAAAGCTTATATAATGTTTTGTACGCTTTGAAATTGATAAAATAAAATTGATGTAAAATTTACTATGGTTTTTTATTTTCAGGTCGTCTGATTTTTTGTCAAGTGTGGAAAAAAATATCTGTGCAAGCTCAGTACTTAGTTAGATGTATGCTTCGGGTAGATCCTTCAAGGCGTTTGGCTGCAACTGATGTGCTTGCAAATGACTGGTTTAATGATCCAGTAGTAATTAAGGCCAAATCTATAGTATCTTCTTACTTGGTAATTTTATTTATCTTTTTATTTATCTTTTTATTTATTTCATTTATTCATTTCGGCAGTGTTATCCATGTTAAATGAGTAATTTTGTCCAGATTATTCTGATACCTTCTTTTCCTCTCTAATTTTCTGTCTTATTTTCTTCAGGATGAAAGAAAATCGCTGACAAATGATGGGGTAAACTGAATGCTGAAGAAATCAATGTTCTGAAATTAATACTAAAATTATTAAGTTATATTTTGAAAGAATTTTGGTTTTCATTTTTTTGCAAAACGCTTTTTCATTAATGTAGTTCTTTTAACCTATAAATTAATCGTATAAAATAAAAACTACTTAAACTAATTTTAGAGAAATTTTAAAATTTCAGCCATTTCTTTTTAATTTTTGAAATTGTTTAATTTTTTGAAATTTCTATAATTAGTCTTCTACAATATTTTATATTGGCAGTTGTTTCGAATCGGAATTAATTTATTTAGAAATATGTTTAGAAATATGCTCTTTTCTAAAATTATGGAATAGCCGCTTAACATGCAATGCTTTTATTTTTCCAAAAGTATGCATTCCTTATTTTTTTGATGTAGATTATTTTTTCTTTTTATTGGCTATTCCTTCAATAATTTATTTTTTTTTGTTCTAAAATGTTTCTATAAAAAATGTTAAAAAATCAAATATGATTGAAAATCACCATAGAATTTTAACTTTTCCGATTTCTTTCTATTTTTTTCCGGCTCAAACTTTTTTATCTTTAACTTTTTTTCATTGGTTTTTTATTTAGGTTTGCTTTATAAAAAAACCGTTAAATAAAAATTTGGAATCGAGTAGAGAAGGATAAATTACAAGAAAAATAAGTAAATAAGTAAAGCTTATATTAATCAATCATATAATTTAATATTTTAAATTTTTCGATCAGAATTTTTTGCAGTTTATAAAATTTATTTGAATGTTCTAAATTATCATTTTCAATTTTTTGAATTTTTAAATATTTTAAAATTTTCATGCAGCTCCGCATTATCGAAAATTTCTTAGGTTTTGTCAATTGTTTCTCGTTTTCATTGGTTTTTTTTTTTTTTGCTTGGCATTTGTTACTCGTTCTATTGTTTTAATTTTCTTCGTTTTCCCTAATTTTATTTTCTGATGTTCTGATTTTCCCAAATTTTCAGTGTTCTTCTTTACAGTTTCGCCTTTGATATTGTCGATGATATTAACATACTTTTTCGGTGTAGAATTTTATACTGTAATTGTCTATTTGAATCGGATCTGTGGTAATATATGGAATTAGATCTGTTGTAACAAATCGTTCTCATCGAATATCTTCTCATACTTAAATTCGTTTTTCATTTTTGATTTTTGCAATTATTCATGCTTTTGCATTAAAATTTTCTAGTATTAGTTATTTTAGCTATATATTCACTAGTTCTGCAAGAAAGAATTTTTATAAATTTTTTTTTATAAAAATTTAGAAATTTAAAATTTTTTTATAAGAAATTTTTATAAAAATTTATAATATATAATTTATATATTTATAAATTTTTATAAAAATTTGCCTTTGTTCTGATTTTCTTTTTTTTCAGCTCGAAATTAATGAAATGGAAAAAGTTAGCTGTTGTTGGAAAATTTCAAATAAGACATATAATAAAAGATCTAAATGATAAATAAAAAATAATTATATGATTATAAATGAAAATGGTCATAAGTGTGGAAGTTTATAAAAAATTATTTTATAAAAAATTATCACATAAAAAAAATCACTCATTAAAAATCGCTTGGCAATATCGCTTCTATACCAAGCGATGTTGATTTGATTTTTCAGGTGTGTCCTAATAAAACAAATCCGTCATTGAAAATGAACACTCTGGATGGACCAAGTGCTTAGTACCAATTTCTTTCTTCATCTCTATATGGTTCAATTTTAAATTCTATTAAATATTTGGATGCTTTAATAAGAGGTAGGATAATTTTGAAATCTAAAGTTTAAGGTTTATTATTTTTCTTTATTATAATTATATTTCAATATATTTGCATTTTTATATTTATTAATATTTATTAATATTAATATTAATATTTATATTTTATATTATTAAATAATTAAAAATTTAAACTTTTTATTCAAATTTATAGAAATTTATTGAATTTACAGCGATAAAGAATCGACAATGTAAAATGATGAATTAATTAGAAATTGCAAATTAAAAACGATTAATTTGTGGAATAAGAAAATGGCAAATTTGTATGTGAAAAAAAAAAAACTTAGAGGTAAATATTTTTCGATTAATAATATAGATTTAGGAGATTGGTTGCTTAGGAAAAGAAGGTAATTTAAGGTTGAAAGGTCTAACAGCATGAAAAATATTCGATAATTATAGAATAGTCGATCTATAGATTTTATCCAAAATTCTCTTTGAAAAACTTCCATATGAAATAAACCTTTTAGTTATGCATTTAGTTAGGCTAGAATTTACGGTTTAATTTTTGCATATTAAATGATATAAATATATATAAATGATATAAATATAAATGATTTAATTTTATCGGAAAAATATAAGAAAAATACAAGTGATTCGCAAGTAATATTGTTAAGAAAACAGAACTGATAACACAGCTGATTAAATGATAACATAAAGCTAAATATGTTGAATTTCATTTAAAGCTCTATTAATGCAATTTTTAAAAAATGATTTGATATGATTTAAGTCTGAAATTTACAAATTTACATACATAATTTAACTGTCGTTGATTTTTATTATAAAAAAGATGTTTTTTTTTAAATAAAATTAAATAAAATTTGTAAAAGAAGATGGATGAATGAAATTAATGAAATGTATTGGTGCAGAAATTCGCTGCCTCAGTTAAGTAATCTCTCTTCAATTTTATAAAACAACTAAATAAATAATAAATTACTACAAATTGCTAAATAATTTTATTTGGATAAAAGAAATTAATATTTGTTGATTATCATCGATTTTTTACACTGATATGATTGATTATCATTTTGATAGGTTTCATATTTAAACAAAAACAATTTTTTGCTTTAAATAATTATTTTATCAAGAAAACAAATTCGATAAGAAAGCAACTTGGAAATGTCGTCCTTTTTACGTCCTTTCTAATCAGCTAAGCCATTCCGACTAGTTATAATGCAAAAAGAAGAAGATTTATAAGATTTAATTTTGTAATTCTTATAATGAAAATAATAAAAATCGATTCGCAAAAATATGTCAATAATTGATAAGAAATGTATGACAGACGACCTTATTAAGTGATCGAGTAAAGGGAAGAATTAAGCAAAATATTAGTCTTAAACATTTTTTCAAGCAATTTTTGATGATTTCTCTAGTAATTTTCAAATATTACCATATTTCTTATATTAATTATTGTGAGAAAGCTTTCTCATGTTGTGGTTCATCGTTTTTTTTTTCTCGTTTTTTCATTATTTAAGATTTTACTGATAAATAAAACTGATAAACTGAGAGATAGCGATAGGTAATCAGTAATCAACTAAATTTCAATTCATCTTTAATTAGCACACATTTATCATCATCGAACGATATGAATTAAATTCATGTTTTCATTTTCATTTCATAAGCTCCTTTAAGCTTCTCTAATTCGAGCATTTTGCGCTAATAAAAAAATTAAATTAACTAAAGAAAAGAGTTTTTTTTCTAATGTACGAGAAAAAATAATCGCGAATAGTTGAACGACCAATTATGCCGTCGGCATGATATTTGCAAATTTTTTGTGCGATTTTCAACAAATTTTAATCCAAACAAATCAAACTGAATACGAAACGACTATTAAATACATTTATTTCGATATGATTTCTCCGAAATCTTTTGTATTTTCATTATTTCGTTTCGTTTCCTTAAGAATCGGCGTCGTCAAATTTTTATTTACTTTAGGCGTATACGGAATAATTCATAAAAATCTTCTAAAGTTTCAACTTCAAAGCGAAAACTATAAAAGAAAACTAATTTTAAGTAATTGCGATTGATAGAACGATTATGAATTGTTACTCTCATTTCAGGAGTGGCGTGGTACTCCTCGTAGTAAAGAATCTATCTTTCAGAAATCCAGGTGGCGATACGTAATCTGTAATTGTTTGATCTAACATGCTAGCAGAATGAGCCTAATCAGAAATCCGGTGATCCGCTTTTAGAAAAATAGAATATTGGCCTAAAATGGGAAAAAGTTCTTACCATCTTTTATATAATTGCAAAATGGCAAATAAATGGCGACAAACTTAAAACTAAGAAAAGTAAAGAAAACTCATATAAGTTTGCATTTGTTAAAGTTTTCTTCATAAGGATTCTCATTTATTTCTGTTAGGCTTGGCTTGAATTGGCTTGTACGGCAGACTTCTAGTAGAAGAATTATACATAAGTCGCCGGTATGATGCGGATTTTTGAAAGACAGGTTTGCAAGGAGTTGAACCACAGCATCGACACTTAAAAACGTCAGTAATAATCCGCTGTGCCATTCTTAAAATTATTTGCTTATCGTTTACTTATTCTTATTCGAGATGTTTTCCTAATACTATATAATAATTTAGCGTTTAGCAACATTAACGCAAATATTTGCCAATTCTCATGGACTAATAATGTTTCATTATAAGTATTAACTTTTCAGCTACGAATATTTTCATTTTTTTTCTATTGTTTCTAATTTTCCCATCAAAATTCGATAATTAATTTTTAAAAATCCACAAATAAAATATCATAAAATGGCAAAATATATTTCGGTTATTTTTTTTTTTAATGAAAAATGAAAAAAGAAATTTGAATTTGAAAAATTTAAATATTTAAATATTAAATATTATATGTCGGATTCGTCCTAAATATTTAGATAAATATAAATATAAATAAATATAAATAAATAAATAATCTAAATAAATATAAATATCTGTATTTAATATTTAATATTTAGTATTATATTATATTATTATTTAATATTTATTTATTATTTATTATTTATTTATTATTTATCATTTATATTATTATATTATTTATTATATAATTAAATAATATAATATAATGTAAATGATAGTATAATATGAATGGTATTAAAAAATATTAGAAACATAGAAATATTTTTAATGGAACAATTTGAAGGTTGATCTGAAGTGCCACACATCGGTAAGTGGAAATATACAATATACCTAGCCTTCGATGAAATATGTTTGCATACATTAT